ACCGTCCGTGGATTACAGCCTCTTCAAGAGGGACCTACTGACAGGGCTGTGCAGGGTCTGGCTGTCACTGTGCGACGCATTTGCCTTCCAAAAGCCTGTCCTGTACCACGCCTGCCTCACTGTCCCATGGCAAAAGGTGGGTTAACAGCAGAGGGGAGCACAGCAACAAGGCAGCGTTTGCAGGGTGGAGTGACAAGGCAAACCTGTGTCTTCTTGCTACCCAGCTGCTGCCCTTATCCCCAGCGTCCTCCACAGGGCACCACTCCCCCAGTTTAACATCATTGCCTGGACTCTCCCTTCCTTCAGGGATTTCACAGCTGGTGGGGAGGGGACGGGATGAAGGTTCACTGTGGACTCCAGCCAGAACAGAGCATCCCCTCCCTCCGGTGCCACGTGGTGGTGAGACAAAACTGAAGCCTTCTCCCTCACAAGGGTTCGGCCTCCCAGGAGGTCTACGATTATTTCCCAAGGGAAAGCATAAAACCATGATAGCTTCAGGAATTAGAATGGGACAATTAAGGAGTGACAGAAACCACCCCAGTTAATATCACTGAGGACCTTCTAGTAAAATTCCAAATTTGGCTGCTTTAATCCCCTGGGGAAGAGCAGGGAAGTTTCCAAATGGGGGACAGTCTCCTTTTCCTGGAGAAGGTTCTCTAAATTAGACACAGATTAATTAGTTTTGACACCTTGGCAAAGAATCAGTGTCTCACATTTTTCATTTATTTTTATCACCAATAACATTCATAATAACATTATAAAGTGAGGAAGGAACAAGACACAGCTGAAACTTTATTTTTCATAGAAAGGGTTAAATCTAAAGTGGGCTAAACAGGTTCCCAAAGCAAATATTTCCAAACACAGAAGCTAATAATGTGTTTCTTTCCTGCACTGCCAAAGGTAGGCCTGAAGGACACCTCAAGGAGTTACCTAGTCCATGCCAGTCATCTGTGAAAGAGGTTTGCTTAACCTGCTACAGGTATCTCTCCACTTTCTGAAGCCATACTTGAGGCACTCCCTTTTGGCACTGAGCACAGAGACAACCTGGAGAGCATCCCCTCAAGAAAGGGGGGGGAACACCCTTTCTCTGCAAACACCTCAGATTTCAGGAAGCACCAAATCTTTGGGATCTGTGAGCACACGTTTTCTGTTTGCCCACACCGATGCTCTTGACAGGTCTGACGTGCGCCTGCGAGCTGAGTGAAGGTTTACTGCTGTGTTTTCTGGAGGCAAGCACTGCAAGGTGGTCTTGGAGGATGCACTCGGAGCCCCTGCGAGCAGCTACGAGGCTCTGCTGCTCTCTGCTGGGAAATGCAGGCAGAGCCCCAGCAAGAGGCCGTGCTGGGGGAAGAGCTCGGATTTGCCAGCATGCTCTGGCTTGGTCTCTGCACGCAAACCCTCAGAGCTGCCTGTAGGAAAGCAGACACCTTGGTGCAGTCTGCTCCTCAACGCTGGTGTTGGAAGTGGGCCCACATCAAAGGTGTAGGAGCAGCCTGGGCGCAGGTCAGCAGCCCCAGCCTGCCCCTCTTCCCCGCACATCCCAGCCCTCTCTACCTCGTCCGCCGGATTTCTCCACATTGCTCTGTCGCACTTACACCTGCTCTCCTCCCAACAACCCTCTGGATGTGGGGGGCAGAGCAGTTACCCCACCATACAGGTAAGGAACCAACACGCGGGGCAACCGTGCGACCCACCCGGGGTCACAGGGCAGCACCTGGATGCGCAGAGATGCCTCTCCAAGGGCCCCAGCCACTTCCCTGCAGCCTGTTTGGGTTTTTTTTTGATCATTCTTCTGTGCCACAAAGCTGCTCGTTGCTCTCCAGACCTCAGGAAGGCTTTAACTACATATGGCTGCAACGGAGCAAAACCACAGGTCAGGGAGTCTCGGAGCCAGAGCGCGAGGCTGTGGCCTCGGGTACCAGCCGGGCTGCGGCAGCCTCATGCATTGCGCGGGAGCTGAGCTCGCTGCTCCGGCCAGCAACCTCAGTCCGGGAGGAAGCCCGAGCCCTGACAGCAGCTCATGCACAAAGGAGGGGAACAAATGCCCCAGGTTGGTGCCGACCGGGTCCCTCTGCCCCTTTAAGCAATGACGTTTCATTTTCCGAGCGTTTCATCTCATGCATCTCATTATGATTTTCAAGTACTGGATGAGGTGACAGGAGTTTAAGATGGGCATTTTCAGGATTTGGCTACTTTATATATGTATTTACAGCTCAATAAAATAAGAAGGAATATTCAAAGTGAACAGACTGTGTAAAGTGATTTGTTCCAACTCTTCACTGCAGACTTGCAAGAAACCAATCAAAGAGGCTCGGGAGTGGTTTGAGCGTAATTTATTAACCCAAAAGGCGCCGCATTGTTAACCAACATTATTTATAGTGAACAGCTCAACCATCTCCACTGAACAACTGTGTGATACTGCAGGGACAAATGCAATGAGTTACTACGCAGATAGGACAAAACCAGCAGCAGATCTTTGTTACAGCTGTTAGAAAAAGTGTCCCCAGGAGACAGACACTGAATCTCTAATAGCTATCTTATTTCTCTGACAATTTATTTAAGTTTTAACTTAACAGCAGGAATGATAGTCACAGTTACACAGTGACTCCCAATAAAGGAGCGTATTGCTGATCTGCAGCTGGTGTTTTCTTATTTATTTCAAAGTCTTTAAGTTCCAGACTTAGCATATGGTGCCATATAAATAATGATATAATAATACGTTTTTGCTTTCCATGTGCCTGGATAAAAAAAAAAAAGCTATGTGATTTATGTTACATGAGCATTGTATTTAAGGCATTATTTTGCTCAGAATTTTTAATGCATTTAAAATGCATCTTCTGCTTTTTGTAATCTGTTCTTTTGAAAGAATAAACAGAGCAGTGATGTTTATTTAATGGAGTCATTCGTCTTACTTCCTTGTACAAAATCCTAGCTTTCCAGACCCAGCAGCCAGTTCCCTGCAGTAGGCAGTGGGGTTGGAAACAGAGAGGTCTGCTGTTTACCGATGAGGTGCAGATGAAAGAAAGACATAGGGCTCAAGATTTACCCACAGCAGGATGTTATTTGAAGCCAGCAGGCAGCTGAGAACTGCTTAGTCCTGTTCAGTAAAGGGTGGAGAGGAGAAACCCATGGGAGAAGTTTGGCAGGGAGTCATGCTGTGGAGAAAACAGCACAGGGATGGCTCAGCACACAACCACCCATATACACACAACTGAAAGCAGGTGCCTGCTTCAGCTAAAACTGCATCTGCAGTTAGTAGAGCACACACAGCCCCCCTGAAGTACAACAGGGATCTAACAGTTTACAGCTTTCTTTTTAGACCCTCGATAAACCAGCTCTGTGAGCATTACAGCTGTGCAGAAATATCCAGCTACAGGGTGGGGAAGATCTCCTAACTCACACCTCAACTGTTTCTCAACATTGGTGTCTTAGTTTCCAGACTGACGGGCAGCAAGACCTCATCAAGCTAAAGTTTCCTCACAGCTACAAGGGTTGCAAATGGGAGTTTAAACATACACAGAGCACTGCAGAAGAGAGTATTTCTAAGGCGTGTACAAGACAAAACAGTAGATATTCTGCCTACAAACTTAAGCCTGCTCCATTGGGCCACAGTTCATAGAGGAAATATGTCAGGGTCTACAAATCAAAGACTGACAATTCCAAGCAGCAGGCTGTATACTGAACCCTCTCCCACCGTGTAAGGATGGGATAGTCACTGGAGGTTAAAGAAGTCAGATCCTGAAATCTCCCTGAGAGTCCACCCCGCCAACTGCCTAAGACTGTTCAACAATTTTACAGATTTTACCAGGCATCTTTCAAGACCTTTCCACAGACCAAAAATAACCCCACACTCAAAAGGCCAGCATTCCCATGCTGTCCGGGACCATCGCAATCACATGGGAAAGTGGGAGAGGCAAGATGGGCTCAAAGGAGTTGAGTAATGACCTGGCATCCCATGAGTGCAGACAGCAGTGCTCCCGTGTGAGAGGATCCGAGTGGTCAGTGTGCCTGAGGATACAGAAAATGCCGGCACGAGGGTAGTACTGGAGCAGTGAGGAAGCCACTTCTCCTAAAAGGTCAACAGCGTAACCCGAAGAACACATACACAAACTGAGCTGCTCTGAATGGAAGTGACATCTGTTAGTTTAGCACAGGCTTTGAAGTCCTGTACCTCCCTCCCTCCCACTCCCCCCATCAAGCCCCACGGGCAGTTTCAGCCACCCATGTTTCAATCCCGGCTCTTGTCACACTGGAGCATGAACCAGACTATTTCAGAAGCTGGTTACTGTGGTAACCCAGCACAGCTTTTATCTTTATCCCTTTCATCTCCTGTTTGGGGGGGAAACTGGCAATCTGTTTATTTGCTGTTTCTGACAATCTGTTTATTTGCTGTTTCTGACAAAGTTCACCATGCAATACACCGTCAGGATCTGTGTAAAACTGAGAAAGTACCTCTCGCATGAATGTGCGTGGAAGTATTTCTCTCAGCGCTCTACTACCCCACCTCTCGCTCCCCCACTTCTCTTTACAAGCTGCTCGGTACGTGCTTTTCCATCTGACCCTCCGCGTACAGCTTGTCCCTGCCCTTCTCCTTCAGGCCTCCTCGCTACCGTGGCCCTTGCTAACAGGGCCGACAAGAGCAAACGGCTACGCCGGACTTTTACGCGTCCTTCAGAGGAGCGCGGTAAGGCCGGAAGGGCACTGGAAGTCAGAGAAGGGCCTTAGCCCACTGCAAAACGCGAAGGCCGGCGGCGGGCTGGGCTACGGGCAACCCCTCCCGCTGCCAAGGGACCCTCCGCTCCCCGCAGGGCACAGGCAGCCCGCGGAAGGCCCGCCGGCTGCTCACACGCACCGAGAGGCCGCTCCCCGGCCTCCGCCCGGCGCTTCCGCCCTCACCCAAGATGGCAGCACCGTGCGGCGTGACGTCACGCCGGCGTGGCCGCCTACCGAGGCGGAGCTGGGGGTGGGTGGGGCGGCGGTTTCCTCGGCAACCTCCCCGGGCGTCTTCCGCCTACGGCGAGCGGCGGGCGGCACAAAAGGCCGGCGGCGGCGGGAGGCGAAGCACAGCCCTGCCCCGCCATGGAGGCTCGGGGGCTGGTGAGGGTAGGCCGGCCCCCGCCCCCTCTTCCCCCGCGCACACCCGGCCCCACGCCTCTTCTAGCTGCACCAACCTGTGTTCTTCCCCCTCCCCGTACACCCAGCCCCCTGACCCCCGCGGTCTACTGCCTTCCTCCCCCCCAAGGAAGCGTCCTGTGCCCCCTGCCCCCCAGGGTTAACACCCCCTTCCCAATTACAGGGATGGGTGCGGGTCCTGCCCCCCTCCCCGGTCTGCTCCCAGCAGCTTGCTTCAGGCAACACAGCTGCAGCTGGGAACCCCAAAACCTGCGAGCAGCTGTCATGGCTCCCACCTCCTCTGCCCCGGGCAGTTTTGGGATGAGGGTGCCTGAAGTCAGTCACAGGACTAGGATATGGGAGCGTGGGGCACGGATACGGCGTGGCCCACAGCTCAAGGGGGATGGTGGGTGAAGCCTATCCGAATTTCAGCTGCTTGCCATCAGGGAGCAAGACCGGAGCTGCGACAAGCAGGAAGACAAGCCAGGAGCTGAGGCAACCGCAGCACAGGCAGGGCAGTGCCCTTGGCCGACAGGGTGCAGGCCCACAGCACTTGGGCAGGGTGCTGGTAAGAGGGCTCACCAACAGTCCCAGACGAGGCAAGGTAATGAGTCGGGTCTGGGATCCATCCAAGGGACTTCCATCCACAGGCAAAACTACCTACAACATACACTTTGGGTTCCCCCAGAAAAAAAAAAAAAAAAAGTGAGGATCAAGCACAGGCACACCTACTGCATAGCCCAGAACAGGTCTGCAGACTCAGGTCTGAGCTTAAACGGAGTTCCTGGGCTCGTGGGCAGAAGGTGTGAGTGGGGCCAGTCACAGAAATTAAAGTCTACGAGAGCGTGGTCTAAGAGGGGCTGCAATATATGTGCAGAAGGATGCAGTAACATGATGTATCTGGTTTGTGGGGCTACATGTTTAAAATATTCTTTGTTCTTTATTCGTTAACTATTTTAGCAAGAGCCCAATGGTCATTCAGAATCTGAAGTGGAGGCATCTAGCACACCATCAGCTGTTGAACCATCTGAGGACCAGACACCTACAGTTGAATCCCCACTGTCACTGGATGACTTATCTGGGGTTGAAACACCAGCATCTGCAGAGCAGCCATCTGTAGTGGAATTGCCAGTGTCTGCAGACCAGCTGGTGGTTGAGAAACAAGGAGGTTCTGTGGACCAGTTACCTGTTGTTGAATTTCCCACATCCAGGGAAAACTCACGTGAGATCGGGTTGCCTGTGGGTGAACTGCCAGTTTTCAAAGCTGAGATGTACATGTCTGGCTCCACACAGGCAAGTGGTAAAACACCCAAGGCTGGGTCATCGGCAAGTGAGGTCAAGCCAACAGAGAATACAAGTGAAATATTGGAGCAGCCAAAGGTGTATGAAGACCCCTTTGAAGTCTCCATTAAGTACATGGAGAAACATAATATTCTGCAGATATTTCAGGTGAAATATCTCTTTCCCTTCTCCCTCCAGAGGCTTGCTTGAGAAGCTGAGCCTAAAATTAGCTTGGACCAAATTATCCTTTCCCCAGATCCCTCTTTGTCCTGTGCTTTCTTAAGCCTAAGCTTAAGAAAAGCAGTAGAGAAGGGCCCTTGATCATCTTTGAGGATTGAAAGAGATGCTTGGTTTTTAAAATGCAGCTAGTGTTGGAGCAGAAAGTGCAGCCACCCATCTACCCAAGGATCAATACTTCTTTCCTTCTTTCCATCTCTATCTCAGGAGATCACAGAAAAACTGGTCTACCAGAAGCCCGATGACCCCTTGCAGTTCATGCTGCTGCAGGTATGGTGTCCTGCTGGAGCTCAGTGGGGACCGTCTGTTGGGGCCGCAGCAGAAAGTCAGTCTTGCTGAGCACACCACAAACGTGGTCAACCCATGACTGTTTCTCTCACTGTCTGCTCGCTTGGGAGGAGGAGAAACACAGGATAGGATCAGAATGCCCAGGGTGCAGGGGATGGCATGTGCTCTAAAAGCAGAGGGAGGAGAGTTGTGGGAGGGTGTGTGGGGAGCAGAATGTGTTGGATGTACCCTGGAGGACTGTTATCTGAGAGGTGAATGAAGCTTAGGGAGAGAGATAGGGCCCCTCTCTGTCCCCGTGACCCTTCTCCAGCTCTCTTTGTCCCATGCTGGGAGGGAGCACTTCTCCTGCCCAAACACCCCTATTCAGGAGAGCTGTCTCTGCTGATCCTGCAGGGTTTGAAAACACAGGAAATTCAAAGTCAACAGAGTGAGGTGTTAGAGTGGGAGTGAGTTAGAAGTGGGGGGAGCTCCTTAGGGAAAGGAGGAGGCTAGAGGAAACAGCAGACAGAGGGAGTCTTTTCCTTCACTGCCCTCTAGTCAGTCAGGGGAAGAACCACCTTGGTGATTTGCTGCTGGGTTCATGCAGTGCTGAATGCAGAACCTGCAGACGAATAGCAAGGTCAGTTCTGGGCACCAGTGGTAACGATACAGGCTCCCAAATGACACTTTTCCTTTTCTTTTTGCCCAGGTACAGTCTATGATAAATGCCAGGCAGGCAGAAATGGAGGGAATATTGGAGGAGAACGAAGATATGGAAGTGTTTCTGGAAGAGGACTCATGCACTCCTTTTGGTCCCTACTGACCTTGCTATTGTGGTATTGCATGGGGCCTTCACAGCACCATACTTTTGTAGTCATTGGCAGTAACCTGGAAGAGGTCTGCTTGTATTTCTGTTTCCTGATTTTTCTGTTCTGTATGCTTGTGTTTCCCCTTGGGTTTAAATACTGCAACCAAGTATTGGTTTGGATGCACAAACTCAAATCTTAAAGTGTGCAGGGACCTGGATGCACATATGGCACATCTTGAAAAGGCAGGTCTGCTGAACTCCTTTGCAGTCTCCGCATACAAATGCATAAATCCCACATTTAGGCCACCCCTAGATTCTGCTTTTCTGTGCAGAGAAACCTCACAGCTCAGACAATGCAAGCACAGAAGCAGCCCAGGACGACACACAGTCCTCTCTTTTTCTTGCTGCAGTGGTGGTTTACTGTCTCCCGCTATGCAGCAGCGCCAGTGCCCATCTCATACTTTGAGAGGCTGGGTCTGTGGCTTTCCTGCTGCCCTCAGAGCTCCTCTGATGCAAGAAGCTGTCTCTCTGCCTCTTCCATACACTGGGTGCAGCTGTCTCACCCTTAGCCATCCCTGCTGGGTTCCAATCACTCTGCTCTTTGGGGTTGCCCTGCTTGTATTGTTGCAAGTACAATGTATATTTTGATAAACTGAACAGTAAAGCAACAGTTGCATGCACACTCTGTGGCTTCAAAAGACATTGTCACTCAGGAATGTGAGACATGAATAAAACTAAACAAACCAAACCCAAGCATTATTAGCCCTGGAAATTCAAAGTCAAGGTACACTTTGCAAACACATCATTTGAACTGCTTTTGATTCTCAGAATACCTACAGTTCTCATTTTCATACTATCCAAGTGTCTGTTTCTACCCTGCAAAGAAAGTTTGTCTTTTGTTTTCTTGTCTCTTGCCTGGAGATTATTGAAAATGTGCAACAGAGCATACTGTTATTTTGGCTTCCATTTCATGTGTATGTGCAGTAGATGCCAGAAAGTTTTTTGTCACTACAGACTTTTCTCTTTTTTAGGCAAGTGCTCTAATTTCCTGACGGGTGGTAGTGTATTCCCAAATGACTGTCTCTATGGCTATGAAGAAAGCACTGTAGAAACTTATCTTCCATATATCTAATTTCAGCTAAAAGCCTAATGATTAGGTTGTATGATACTCCACAGCAGAGCTTCTGCCCAAAAAGTTTGGGAACAACAGAGGCAAGTATTTGGCATAAAAATTATGTGTCTGAGAAGAGTTGCCTTTCTATCTAAGATTCTCAAAAAAGATCAGTTAACTCGTGTGTTTCCAGGTTAAAGGCAGGTAAGCACCCCTGTCATTTACAGGGCAGGAAGATTTTCAGGCTTATTGTGAGCCTAAAGATGGCTCAAGATTCAGATAAAATTTTCATGGGCTTTGTAAGAAGTTTGATCTAGACTCAGGCATCTAGGTCCCACTGAAGCAGTGAGATGCTTTTGAAAGCCCTACTTTCTGCAGCAACTGGAAGAATCAGACACTTAATGAAACAGAGACTGGTTGTTTTTCAGCCTGATCTATTTTTGATCAAGAATTTATAAGCAGCCTTGTGCACATGTGCCTTGTGAATGTAAGAGAAGCGCTAATGCACCTCTGAGAAACAGGGAATGTATGGAAAATGAAGATAGTGGCTGAAGCCTTTTCATCTCTATGGTGACTTGTCAGCATGTTTTCCCAAGAGACAGACAAGTTGACGTGTCTTTGAGTTTTGTTGCAGAACAGGATTAGGGTGCTTTTGAGTACAGCCTTAGCTGTGAATTTCCTGCTTCTATCATTTGTGTACTGTATTTTTTTGTTCTCTTTTACTTATGAGAAACTTTTGACTTGTAAAATGTTCTCGGACTATAGGTGTGCACCCTCAACTTCATGTCAGCATTAAGGGAGTTATGCAAGGAAAGATCCTTAATTTCTCTTTCAGATAAGTTGAAGTGAGCTGGAAAATAGTCTTCTTACAGATGACAGAAGTTTTGCAAGAGAGAGTTCCTCAGCACTCTCAGGGACAAAATTTTCCTTTGGTGACCTGGCCACCTTATTGCTGCGTGGTAGCAAGAACTCCTCCCCAGTGCACGTAGGAGAATCGATCAGACCTGAGCAAGGACTTTGACCAGAAATCATGGGGAACTCATCATGAGCTGAGGAGAAATGTCACCTCCTCCTCCTCCTCAAGCCTCTCAGATGATTGGATTGTATTTTGAACACCAGTTTTTGCAGGAAAAAGTCCAGGAACTTTGTTTAACAGAACCAAAAAAGCATCTTCCAGAAGGGGTTCCGATTATTGTGTTTAAGCTAGTGTTATACAGCTGTCCTTTTTTATTTGCTTCAGAAAAATACACCTTAGCTCTAGAAAAACCCTACCTCACATTAAGGCACTAATGCACAACTGCTGTTTGTGTGTATGAAGGTTTTTCTGTGGTGAAGAAAAGAAGAAAAGGTAGGTTTAATATGGCAACATTTACTGTAGTCTTGAATCCAGAGTGACTGTCTCTTTTCCATAATTTCTTTCCCAAACCATTGGATCCGTGTTTCTTCTTCCTAAGTGGGCATTTATCAACATGACGTTAAACTGTCATTAAATTTCTTGCCTTGGGTGCTCTGAAGGAATTAACAGTTCACTATGTGTAACGAAAACCATTCCATATAAGTCCTTATAGCACACTAGTCACAGTATATTTGAATGTCCTCCAGTTGTGTGCTAAGCAACGTGACTAACATCTGTTGTTTGTTCTTTCTCCTCTCCATGAGGGACATGTCTGTGCACTGAAGTGCATTCTTTTTAAAAGGGTGTTTTGTTTTTTCACCCACACCTGTGTATTGCTGTGTGCTGCTAATGGATAGGGGGTAGGTCACGGAGTGTAAGGTGGGGAGGTTGGAGGTAGTTTGTAGTTCTCAAGGGTGTTTCCTTCGTAGTTTGAGCTGGGCACCGAGAAAGCACAGTATTTTCACAGCCAGGATTTTTTTGTTGACCCATGGACTGGCACAGAAGCGTGACATCCAGTTCAGCTGCCAAATAGCATGATCTTACGGTGTGCACACTGTTTCTGTTGTGAACCTTGTATCCCTCCCCCCCCAGAAGCAGGATGCGCAGGGACCAACTAGAAAGAAAGTGTACTCACTGTGAAATAGGTGTCTTTTGGATCAAAACATCAGTTTTCTTTTTCTACCATCTCTGTACAGAACTTAAAATGACTCAGATGCCCCAAGCAATACTAAAGTTGCCTGTATACCTCCTCCAACCAATGGAAAAAAAATGTTGTAACCGCTGATTAAAAATCCATTGAAAAGTTCACACAGACTCTGCTCTGCTTCTCAGATAGGCGGAGGGCACAGGCGGGATAGCTCTTCAATGGCCAGCTACTTATAGCATGAAACATTTCACTGTGACTCACTGGATATGAATCATCGCTACAGAACACCAACTTTAGTTTAATGCCACTGATTTCAAAGTTTCACAATCATGTGAAACTCGAAGTAGGCAGTAGCAACTATTCAGGGCTTGCATGTCTGAAAGAGAAGAAACTAACCTCTGGGTAAATCCCGACAGAGCTTCGCTTGAGAGAGAACTCAGCCTGAACACTGGAGAATGTGGGAGTGCTTAGAAAGGGAATACACCAGGGCAGATTGGTTAAACCCTGTCTGACATGCCTTCAGGTTGTACTCAAGGGAAAGCTTCTCTTGACCATTCTTTCAGTCAGAAATGCAGAAGTAAAAGAAGAAATGTTCCCTTAAAGTCAGGCATCAATATCCATGGCTGCATTTCTTTTTGGGAGCTGCCTTCGTGGACAACACTGATGTAGCAGCATCACCTACAGTTCATGGCCATGCCTCAACATACACAAATGAAAAGGGGAATTCTGAGTTGTTGAGGTGACATGGGTTGAACGAACTGTCACTTGCCATCTTCTCCTGGGGAAAGGTGGTGGGCTGGAATATTACTGCACAACAGCTCGAGTTAGGCAAAGCAATCCTAAGAGATTTCTATACACATAATTCAAGACTGGAAACTGACTGCAGATGCTGTGGTAGTTGGTCTGTATTAGAAGTGCCTGGTATGAATGAATGGAATGGCTGTTCCTTTCTCCCTCAAGGCAATCATCTCAATTCCCCAGGCAACTCCTCTCACAGGTGGGAAGAGCTCACCCTCCTCTGTCACAGACCGTCAGGCACTAGGAGGGCCACCTCCACAGTATATCCATCCAGGAGTCTGGGGTAAACTTTCCATCTTCCAGCGCAGAAAATAGGAGAAACTGCTGGTGTCATTTCATAAACTGCGAACAAATAATACCAGGGAAGAATCAAACTATGAGATGGACTGACTTGCTTTTTTGTGTTGTTACTTACTTTAGGACCAAAATTAGCCTCTTATTCATTGTCACTCATTGAAGTGGCAAGAGATGGAAGAACATGGGGCTACACAGAGCCAGACTTATGAAGGTACACCAGCTATCTAGTATGTTTCACAAAGCAAAAAGGTAGGCAATGTAGATAAGGGAGTGCAACACACAATTTACACCTGCCATGAAAACTTCACTATAAACTTACAAGCCTTTAAGTCATATGTCTTATTTGGAATCACCTGGTCCAATAACTAAAAATTCTTCTTACCAGCCAGGAGCCAGGATCCATATTAGGGTTAGGGAGTTTGTAAGAACAAGGGGTGACCTCTGTCCTTCCTCCTTACCATTCCTCAGCTTATCTTCTAGTATAAAACAGGAAGCAGAGGTGAATAAAGACATGTGAAATAGTGCGATTGTTTGTTAAAAGGAAAAATACGTGTCATATCAGCCCTTTAAGAAAAACAGTTCTTACCTCGAGGAGCTTTTGGTGTTTGGACAGATGAGTAGATGTTAGGGAGAAGGCTATATTAAATGTAGGCAAGTGGTCAGAGAGCCAGCGATTTTTAACAGTCACTCAAAGTTGCACAAACACCATGAGCACCCCAGGAGTCCCTCTGAAGAGCAGAGCGATGCCTGCTCTATCCCGCTGTTGTTTAAGCATTGCTGTGGGTCTAGCATAATATCCTGCCTCTTTGCAATGAGATTCAGGGAAGAGCAGCGTTGCCCATTTGCTGAAACCCCACAGTATTAAAAACAAGTGCTTAGAGAACCCAGATTTTGGCCCTGTTGTGTAAATCCTTGGTAGTATAACAGAGATATCTTGAAAGACTCCTTGACCGTGGTATGATGCCATGATGCTGATATATGTTTGACCTGGCAGATAGGAGTGCATATGGGAGAAGCTCAGCCTGTTGATGGGAGGAACAGCTTCCTAGTTTTTTGCCCTATTATATATCAAAATGTTTCCAAATGAAGAGCAAAGCTCTTTTGAACAGTAAAGAGCTGGGAAGGGTCCAGCACAGCTATAGATAGAATTACTTTTCGTAGTTACCTTTCATAGACCTCTTATAAGTTATTCATAAACCTTTCTGGCTTTTCAGAAATCATGTTCTGGAAAACGGCACTTGAGTGGTAGGTTAAAAAGCATCTTGAAGGGTGAAACTTAACCTTTCCTATGTGTGTCCATGAGAGGGCAGCACAGACCGGCCGAGCCTTTGCTAAAGGCTGTTAAGAGGCAGGGAGACTAATTCAAGGGTTTACGTCCAGCCGTGGTGTAGCTACACGTAGAGGAGAAAAGGCCCAGGTAAAAGGGCTGGATGTCCCAAAGCACAGCTCTATCCATCACCCACCTGAAACTAAAATGCAGGTACAGCTGGGTACGGGATTGACTGGGTCAAACCTCAGACACACGACAGGGTCTGAGTCTCACAGACTTCTCAGGGAACTTTCTAGTTAGTTACTGAAACCTTAAAAAAGAGTTCTGTGAAAGCAATGAGTCGGTGTGAGACATCAACCGCACCCTTGCCAAGGCAGAGGCTGTCACCCAGGAGTGCTATAAACTCGCCTAAGGCATGCATGTGATTTATTTCCATCCCAGTGCTCCAAAGCACCGAACCAGCCAACACCTCCCTGCTATTCCCCTTTCTGCCTCCTGTGATGCAGCTTTAACATGACTGTCCTCCCTCTTCCTCCTGGGTGCTGCAGCCCTCTGGCAAGGTGGGTGGTGGAAATGCTGAGAGAAATGAGGCATGCTTGCAGCACTTGGCTCACAGCAAGTGTGTTGGGAACTATATAGTGACAGGCAACTGTATGTAGATGGCAGTGCTCCGCTGCCAGCCTGTTACAGCCTCCCAGATGAGAAGCAGCTAATGGAGAAGAGGCAAGCAGGATGGGTTTGGGAGGAATGAGGTATCCCCAAACACCCTTCAGTAATAAGCTGGAACAATTAATGTGAAGAAATTTCTTTGGCCCCTTGCAAACAAGCAGTAGAGGTCCCCAAAAAAGACCTCTTCTTTCTACCACGTTGTGTCTCATGACCGACACATGGGATTTTGGACGAGAAGTTTTTAACCAGCAGCAAGAGCAAGGCAGTCACTGGGTCCAGACAGAACAGCTTGTTCCCAGTCTGTTAGATGAAATTCAACTGAACCACCAGCACCAAAGGACCATCACAGTGCCAAGGCCATTCAGGAGCTGGGACCACATCCTAATAGATATATCGACACTGACATATGCAGTCTTTCAGAGGCCAGAAAGCCCTCAAACTCATAACCAAGAGCAATACAGAGACACTTTCTAGCCGACTTTCCCCGGACATTGTCAGCTTTTTAAAGAAGCTGTCTGAAACACATGCAAAAAATTTCTGTCTTCTCAGAAGTCTTTTCTCCTGCTATGCATTTTGCAAGATCCCAGGCAAACCTTCGCCCAGGCACAGTGAGATTTCTAGCCTCCTCTGAGCCTTCCCTATGGACAGGCTCCTGTTCAGAGTGAGCTCGCCTGCCCTCATCCAAAGATGAAAATCAGGAGGAAGCCACATCCCGTTTACTGACCCTTTTATGCTGTTGAGGGTATAAGAGAGGCTGAGGAGCACCATTCTTGCAGGGCTTGGCTCCCCTTCCCTGCCAGGAGACACTCCTGTCCGTGGGAGGGGAGCCAGGGCAGGGCTTGACCTCAGGGTTCCCCCACGTTCCTCAGTGCTCGTTTTATCTTCTGGTGTCTGTGTGTACAAAAATGTGACCTGTAGGTTGCTGAAAGACCTAGGTGAGTTCAGCAGCTCTAAGATGCAGATATTTTGGTCTGGTTTTTTTTTTGCAGAAATTAGCCTCGGGCCTGTGATGAGGCTCTCCTCCGAGTTTCCTTCACAGTCAGCAGAGTAAAAGAGTCATTCTTAGGGGGAGATTTAGAGACCGAATCCCTCTCAATGTGTACGTGAAGGCACCCTGAAGGTCTTCTTTATTAACAGGAATAGCAAACAATAGAGATTAGCTTTTATAAACATACACTATTTCTCTAAGCTTTTAGGTTGAGACCACTGAGGAAGGGAGCCACAGCAGCTGGCCTGATTGTTAGCAGTGGGGTACCAAGATTTAAATTACTGCCTTTACCCACATGCGCAAACTTCACTACTAGCAGTAGCCCAAAACTGCCTGGGGAAGCAGTTCCCCACCTGAACCCAGTTCTTTACCAGACAGAGCTGCTTCCTCCAAGTTGTTTGTCCTTTCTGCTTGCTCACTTATCAAAAGGAGAAGAAACGGTCTCTTCTGAAAGGATGAAAGTACAGATTTTCATGCAATCACATGATTCCAGGAGCTTAGGTTTTATGCAAATACCCAAAATTGCAAGGCCTAACACCACTAAAACACAGCCATGGTTATAAACTCCTGAACAAAACTACCCTACAAAATTAGAAAAATAAAGTGTATCCCTCGCCTTCCCCAAAATATTAAGAAACTCCAACCCTTGAGAATGTGCTTTATAGCCCTCTTAGGAATGAGGAGTGCAATGCCATTATACATGGGTGGATTATGCATTGCCAAATGCAAAATACCAGGATTACCAGCGTCACAAAGATGTCTGTATCTGGATTTTCTGTAACACTCTTCACCAAGGTATCTGAGGTTTTAGAAAGAAGTTACTCACTGCGTTCCACATTATACTAAATATATACATACAGTTCTGCTTTTCAATCTATATGTTTGCAGGTTTAGCTGCAGTGGCTAGCCCAGCAACCCGGTGGTTTAGCCTAACCCACTATAATTAGCCCGTGGTTGTTGCTAATGGTATGTCATTTGTCTCCCCACACTCAGCACTGTTTGATAAACAATTTCAGGGACAGATCTCCCTAGGTGGTGTTCACTTATTTGTTTTCCACACCCCACATTTATTCCTCTCTCTTGAGGTTGAGAGGTATAGAAGTGGCAAAAAAAAAAAAAAAAAAAAAAAAAAGGTCAAAAACACTGCAGAAAGAGGGAGGCAGCTGCAGCAAAAGCCCCGACCCGGCTGGGGAGGCAGGCGGCCAGGCCAGCTGCAAACCCGAGGGGCTCAGCGGACATCTGTCCTCCACGGCCTGCATCCTCGCTCCCCGTGCGGATGCACCGAGACGGGAGGGGCAGCCACGAGGAATTCCCTTCTCCTCCGGGGAGGAGCTGGCTCCTGGCCATGGCACGTGGAGGGCTTGGGCGGCAGGCGCGAGCCTCAAACCCAAATCTGGCCCGGCGAAGGAAGGTCGAACCGCGGAGCGGGAAGCAGCTGTTCGCAGCCCTCCCGGGAATGCGGGAGCAAAGCCGGGTGGAAGGAATTGGGGCTGGGGCCGCTGGCGGCGGTGCCCTCGGGGGGAGGTCGCTCACCCAGCTGGTGAGGTGGGGGAAAAGTGCCAGGAAAGGTGGCAGCCCCTCGACTCATGGGCAGCGCCTTTGCAGCACGGGGGATGCTCGGCTTCTCTCCCGGCAGCGCTGCCGTGCGCTGCTGCTGTGCGCTGGAGGGACGGTCACCGAAAACGTCCCCCTCCCCGCCACGAAGAGCGTGTGCCAAGCTGAACCTGTGCATGGGTGCACGGGCTTGGCCAACACTGCAGCCGCACTGCCAGGGATGTGGGATTTCCTGAACCCTCTCCCTTAACCGTGAGATCCGATCTTCCTGTGCAACATGGCAAATGAAGTTAGGAGCCTTCTGTTCAGGGATGGCAGTGGTTGCTTTTTGACGGTGGCATGAGGCGGTCACAGAAATGACTCCTGCGACCCTGCTGCTTTGACCATAACCTCCTTTTCCTCCCTGTGTGCTCTCTCCCTCCCTAATTACTCCCTCTCAAATTCTTTCATTCTTTAAACATTATTTCCACGCTATGAAGAAAAGAAATTCAAAGGATGCAGGAAGGTGAAAATGTATTCTTAGAGGTTAGGAGCAGGGCCAGCCCATTGGAATTACCCACAGCATCTAATCAACCCTTTTCAGCATCTTTGGGCATCCTCCAGCATCCTTCCCATGCCAATTTTGAAAAAAGACACTTTGTGACAGGCAAGTTCTCACATTGCTCTGTCACCCATAGAGCACATAGCTGTAGTCAGGTGATAGATCTCATGAGAAACTTCATTTTCCACCTCCATCTGAAAATGAGCCAGGCTGTGGCCTCAGCATCTGTCTGTCCCTCCAAATGAAACCCCAAACTACAGTGTGTGTTCACTCCCAAGCCAGCACTTTGCTTTGAACCAACACACAACGGATGGGTGCACATTCTACATCTGGATACACATGAGGAAAGCACACGCGTGTGTGGATTTGTATGTGTTCATATCCATGTGTGCGCACGTACGGCTCCGGGAGGGGATGTGTGCACTCGTGAGTCTGTAGCTTTCGCAAGTGCAAGAGATTGCACAAGTGTATGGGTCTGGCTATACAGAGGTGTTGGCACATTCTCCTCTGAAATATGCCAGCAGAGACACCCCAGTGGAAGTACCCATGGTGGCACGTGGGCTGCCCGCGGCACGGTTTGTCAGCCCCACTGCACTCCCATGCTTCAGGCCTCTCTGTCTGACCCCTCTGCCCTGCACACATACTCATGCAAACTCTTACCCTGACTTTGTTAATACACACCAAAAAAAGTGCAAACAAACAGAACCTTCATCCCAGCCCTCTCCTTCTCAACACTAAATTTCTCTCCAGATATCACCAAAAATATTCTTACCCACTAAACCAAATTAACAAGCTGTGAGCGGCCAAATGGCGATGGCAGTTCAAGATTAACCACCACCATACCTAGCCTTACCTGCTCTTCCAGCCCAAACAAGGATTCACACTAACACCCTTTTGCAGTTTCCTGGGCAGGGTTATGGAGCAGCAAGAGCTCAGGTATACCAGGGCTCTCTCCCAACAGTGCTGGTGACTGGCAAGACTACAAGTTTCACTATCAGCTTCCCTTTCCCTCTCTCCTCTTTCCTTATCTTCTTTTCCCAAACTAGCATTTCCACACTTGCTGCCTCTTTTCTCCTCCCAGCTGAGGTGTGGTGGAGTGTCTAACCACAGCCCCATGACCGGCCAGGCTGTGATGCTCAGGAGATGCGCTGCTTATACCCCGCCAGCTGCTCTCAATGTCCAGCAGCAATGATGGTGTCAAACACCTGGTCCCCCCAGCACTGCTGAAAGATGGGGTAGCGACTGCACCAAAATAGATTTCACATGTTCTAGGGAGCACAAATAACAGGCAAGCAGGTCTGAGTTATTTAGGCCTAGACAAATCTGCATCCCTACTCTTGAGCACCCAAGTGACAAATTTCTTGTCCCTGTCTACTAGATCAGTTTGGCTGCAATGGCTGGGGCTTCTTTTGCTTATCGCTGTGATACCTTGTGGAGCTGGAAATGCCAAAAGCACTGCCCTTTCCTCAGGGTGAAATCTCATGGGACAGCTGGATGTCTCTTCACTTGTCTCCAAGTAGCAAGGGGATCCATAAAAAATTAGAGCTATTGCAGTTCTGATGAATTTCTCACAAGATGTTTGCAAGGATGGCTACCGTATATTCTTTGGATGTTTGCTTTTGACTTGTGAAGGGATCTGGAAACACAGAGCTCCTATCAACCTTCCCAAGCCCATTATTTATTTGCCTGTTTTTTGCACCAGCAGATGAAGAACACCAAGCACAAGCACCTGTGCTTTTCCCAGAGACTTACTCAAAGCTTCAGTAACAGGAATCATGACTTTTGGCAGACTTGTACTGGAAAGGATGAGGGAGAGGAAGGTGAGAGACATTCCTTTTCTGCTGTGCTTCTCAGCCTCAGCCCCTCTCAGTTCATCACAGGCCAGTTAATATATATGTCCATGCTTGACTTTGGTCCGTCTTAATAAGACTGAATGTGTAAAAATACAGAGGGCGCAAGGAAATTCAATAGTCACCCCACTTTTCATGTTATCCAGTGTCTTGCAGAGTAGCCAATGCCTACACTTCTGTTTCCAAAAGAAATCCCAAGCTAAATAAAAAGAAAACAGATCCAACCCAAACCACTGGATTTTCTCCATGCAATGTAATTAAATGAAAACTTTAAAATCAATTTCCTCTCTTTTTCTAGTCAGTACATTATTCTTATACCCATGTTCAAACAGCAGTCCAACAATCTTATTATTTATATTTATGTCCTTCCAACTCGCCCATCCCCTTTAAAGTTCAAGTATCTTGTACCAGTGAGTCACTCATCCACCCTTTCAAGAGTATAATCATAGAAATTCTTTAAAGCTTTGTGTTTTCGGCACAACGACATTCCAATACAATCTAAGAATCACAGAGACACCCTCCAGTCCCAGGAGGACCGGGGAACAGGTTTGGCTAGAAAAAAAAGTTTTCCTCATGTGATGGGCACCCTACCAATCACACAGCACTTTCCTCAAACAACCTGGGCTCTTTAAAGCCCAGCGGAGGTGGGAGAAAGGGGCTTTTTTGGCTTTGCAGGTGGGTCGGGATTTCTGCTGGGAAGCATCACAAGAAGGGAAAGGTGAGTGCCTTGCTTTGGTCATCGTCTTCCTCTTAATGAGGCATGTGAGCAATAAGCATCTGTTAGGAGAAAAGGAAGCTTTTATGTTTAATGTCTTTTATTTTAGTCCCTGGGCTGTGTTTAGTATGTGAGAGTCTGGTACCTGGATAAGGTTAACTGCAGAAGATTATTAAGTATTTCATTTTTCTTACCTCAAGCTGTGTCTTCTCTATGGCTGCTTTAATTTGTTTCATATTTTTTCTCCTAAAGACTGGGGAGGAGGGAATGGGAAAATTAAATCTGTTGCAAATATATCTGAGTATAAAAAAAAAAAAAAAAAAAGAGAAGTAAAATTGTTGCAGAGAAAGATGAATCCAGTAATTCCCCCTCACTTGTGAAAATAGAAAAGGCAAAAAACCCCTCTCTTGTTTTGGCTGTGCTGAACTAATGAGGGAGAGAGGAAAAACCTACCTCCCAGCAATATTTCCGAGGTAATTATGCTTGATGATGATTTACCAGCCGCTCCACTGTTCATACAGGCTTCATTTCATAGCAATTTCTCTTGAAAGGAAACTTAATTAGTCTCTGACCCCTGCTTGATGCTGAGCTTTGTTTTTGCTTTATTTTTCTCCCCTGGTAGCACAAAATGACTGGTTGGCTCTTCCTTTTCTGAGTGTGCTGGACTCCTGGCACACAGGCTGTTCTCAATCAGAGGCGGCTGCGTTTCGTGGCCGGTGGAGCAACGGGGAAAGTCCAGCAGGGCAGGAGCGTGTGGTTTTGTGTGCACTGTTTGCTTTAAAATAAGTAAACGAATGATGAACTGACACATGTAAAGCATTTAGCTTCTTACAGCAGAGTCCAAGCGACTCATCGTAGCATATTTAATTGCATCCTCTTAAAAACGGTGTAACTCTGAAGATGTCCTGAGCACTTGGAAACTACCTTGTCTTTAAGCCCCTTAGGGGCTAGATTTTCCACTAAAGTTAATCGGAGGGGAAAAAAAAAAAAAAAAAAAAAAATAGGTTTATTGCTGTGTGGCCCCTCAAGCCTCGATGCATCGGAGCCTAAAGCAGGTCAGGGTGTGGGCGGGTGTGTGGCTCGCAGAGGCTTCCCACAGCCCCGGCACCGGTGCTGACACGGCACCTCCGGCAGCGCTTCCACCCCGCTGGCTTCCCTCCACCAGCACCCCAGCCCCAGCCCAGGCACCCGCTCCCTCCTGCAGAGACACGCTCCCCGGCCGGGGCTGGGTGGGCGCGGGGGGCAGGTGTTGGTGCCTGGGCTTCTGCGCCGGGGGCGGGTACGGGCAAGGAGCGGGTTTCTGGCGTTGAATGGCCGGGTTTGTTTAGTTGCGCTCAAGCGGTGCGGAGCCCTTTGGCCGAGGCACCTCGAGGCGGCGGAGGGCACGAACAATAAAACGAACGCGTCCCTCGCTTCCTTACACCAGGGGATGAGGATGCAACACCCTGTGCAGGGGCGCCGAAGTTGGGCGGGTAGCAAGGGGTGAAAGTGAATCCCCCCTGGAAGCTCCGCCACCGTGCTGAGTGACCTCCAAAAGCAGGGTGCGGAAACAAATGATGTTCACATTGGTGTTTTTGGACGTCCCTTGGTCACAGTGCTATGGCTCCACCATGACAACTGGCACAAAACACAAGGCAAACAAAATGGGACCCAGTTCTGCGTGGGGCAACGCCAAACCAATTCTTACCCATTGGCTTTTTTTGTCAAGAGATGGAGTAGGACTAGGCTAAGCAGGGGATGTTCATCTGTAAGGCTACTGAAATCCTGTCACGGTCTAAAGAAGGAGGGTGTGGAGGCTTCAGAAGGTCAACCAGCCCCATGTGTGTGAGGAATGCACAACAGAAGCTGAACCCTGCCTGAATCCAGGAACGGCTGCAAGCAGGGCTTCCTCTGAAATCCTGCATGGGGTTGTCACCTAAAATACAAGGGCAGAAGGCAGCTTCTGCAGAAAGGACCTTGCTTTTCAGCTCCCACATTTGTGCTGCGGGTCTTGCAGAGCCACTGTGAGTAGAGGCAGGGAGGAGAGGTCAAGAATGCTCCAAGCGCATGGAGATAACCTATCTGCCTGAAACTTGCAGAGGAACAGAGGGAAGCAGGGCTACCACGACTCCTGGGCTCTGACATGTTCAGCTGGACCCCCATGAGTGTCAAGAGTGTTTTGGGGGTGTGAGGGGAGAGGAGAGGGGAGAAGTTCCAGCCTCAGCTGTGACCAGGACATAAGGAACAGGAAGAAGGATGCTCTTCAGGAGGGATGTAGGTTTTTGTGGTACAAGGGGAGCAACAGATACGTTTCTAAAGCTGCTTGGAGCATGAAGAAAAGTCAGTGGTAGTGATAATTGAATACCAGGGACCTAGACATGTCATGGCTAAATTGCAAGGTCCTCAGGATGTGCTGAGGAGCACCACATCCATGAAGCTCAAGGCTGAAATCCCAGGACCTGGTCACCTACTCATGTGGAGATTTTGGATAACGGTTGCAGCTGAAGCTCAGGTTTCCTCAGGGATTTCCCTGAAGCTCCAGGAAACTGCATTTGGGTCATTAAACTCATCTTAACCAGCCTGCGAAGAAGGCTCCTCTACATCCAAACTGATCTGTGTCTGCGGGCAGGAGCTGCTGGCACCTTTCTCTCTGGGGGCTGGGAGGAGGACTGCCTACCAGTGTCACACCCAAGGGCGGTTGTGAGTCACACCTGCATGCAACTTGTCTTGGGCAAGCCCGCCAGGGTTTGCCTCATGCCTCTGTAGTCATGCCCCAGCGACCAACAGGCGCTGTGCAAGCTGCCCTTGCTTGAGGCAGCTCACCTCTGAGGCGGGAGGAGCGGGCAGTGGCTGGAAAGCCCCAGGTCTCTCAAGGCTTCTCCTCTCTGGTGTGCTGGGGGGGTCGGCATCCCAGCTGCCCAGCTGTTGCAGCACCTCCCCAGTCTCTCACCTGTGATGCCGATACGATACTAGACCCTCAACAACAGAGAAGGGGCCAGACAAGTGCTTGCCACACGTGGCGCAGGGGAACGATGTGGACACCGAGAAATGGGCTCCGGTGCCAATCTCTTGGAGGCAGAGGGAGAATTCATATTAATACAGCAACATCATGATGGTGTCTAGTTTTAAGCCTACAGTAAAGGCTCTTCCTTCTCTTTTCCTCTTCCCCATCTCTCTGCTTCCCCACTGCTCTGCAATCCTATTGGACTTAGGTAAGGTACTGGAGATCCCCAGGTTGCCTAGATGCTTGACACTCTCCAGATATCTGTGTGGTGGTCACTGTGTCCAGCTTTCCTCCCAGCTACACTATCCTAGGAGGGGGGCTTGCCCCAGGAGAAGTGGCTTGCTTTCTCAGGCTGGCATGGCTGCAGTAATACCTGCCCAAGGAGAGTCAAGAGCGAGCCCACGTACAAGGTGTGAGTGCTGTCGTTACACTGCAGGGGGGTCTGCAGGAGAGAAAGGGAGGGAGAAAAAAGGTTCCTGCAATGTCAAGGAAAGGGTTGTGACTTTGTTAACCACACTTGGCGTGATCTGTTGTGCAAGCCACATGGCACACAACCCTGCTATCTACATGGCAGCTGGAACAGACCTGCTTTTCCATGTAGTAGTCGAGTTCACATGACTGCATTAGAGCAGGGAAGATTTCCTTGATTTTGGACTTCCCCCCTTTACTTGTAATGTCTCTTAGACAGCAATAACTAAAGGCTTTTCAGTAGTATCTGGAGTTTGCAGCACAAAAATCCATGAGCCAGGCAGTGGTCTCTCCAGCTTTCAGATGAATAGAGGACCAGTGTCCGCCTCAGGTTTGGCAGACTCTGCAGTGTTGTGTTGTAGGCAACACGTGGCCAAACCCAGATTTGACCTGCAAGGCAGTTTTATGTGGGCCTCTGGGCATGCTGGCTGGTCAACAGGTTTGGCAGGGACAGAGATTCAGGTTGACCTCTTGAGCCTGCCATTTGCAAATACAGAGCCATACAGCTCCAGGTGTATTGGGCTGGCCTCCAGGCACCTGGCTGGCAATAAACATGGCTTCTCGCCATCCCCAGTTGTGCTATCATGGAAAATACTTCTGTGCTCTGCTGCTGGTATAATAGTGAGAACACTGGAGATCTCTCCATGCCGAATCCTCAAACCATTGCAGAAAGGGTGGTAGGAAATCTTGGTTTTCTCTCTGTCACTGTTGAAAGTCCTCCCTACCCTAAAAATGCAGCTGCTGAGGAGGCTGAAGGTGGCATTGTTAGAGATGTCCCACGATGCTCTGTTCCTCGAGAAACTCCTCTTCATTGACAGCCATGTCTTCTCTTATTTTCCAACAGATTCTTTGAAGAACCACAGAGTCAGTAACCCCAGCAAGAGAAGGCACTAGTACAGGTACTGTGGCAGAAGAGGTGTATTCAAGCCACTTTTCCTGTAGTCTGCTCAAGTTGAGCCCACTCCAGCCTTTCTTTCACTGATTATATTTTCTTAACTACCCAGCAAATGCAGCTGTCTCAAGGTTGGGGATTTTTTCCCTCCCTCTCTCTATGCACACACGCACTCCGTCCCTTTGAAAAAAAGGGCTTGGTTGGTGCTGGCATCTGGGCTTGTTTCTCCAAGAGGTCTCACACCTCTGACTAGTGCCTTTATGCTGCTCTCTCTGGAAGAGGATGAATTCGACACGGGGTGCCGGGCCCCAGCCCGCAGGATATAGCGCTCTCAGGAATTTGGTGGGAATGCTATTTGGCCTGGCTCCCACAAGCCAGCTGCAGCCTGGGCTGCTCCCTCCCTCCCTCCCTCGCACCTGACAGGGAACAGGGGGCCCAGCCCCAGTTCTCGGCATGGGTGGGAGATGGGGCTAGCCTTAGCAAGGCGCTGCCAAGCCATGTGCCGTAGCCGTATATGTGGGATACAGCTAAAGTGCCACGGTTACCAGTTCAGTCCTGTGGTAGTGCTGGCCAAAATCAAACAGCCAGTGGGGTGGGTGGCATACGCTGGGGTAAAACTGGCTCCTCTGGAAGAGGAGTAAGTTGAGGGCACTCAACTTGTCCCCCATCCATCTGGGTGTAGCTGGTGTTGCTAGCCAGGTGAAAATGTAACACCGTAAGCTGGGGTTTGCATGGGTGCTGTTGTGGTGATGAAAACCCTACCCAAAAGGGAGCCAAAGACACCGGCTGCCCCCAGAATGGTCCCAATCTTCTGTAGCTCAAGGATCAGGGAGAGTTTGAGTTATTAGGTTCACACCTGGGCAAGTTCCTCTGAAACTACTATGAAGGAAGGGGTGGAAGCCGTACAAACAGGCTGATACATTCTTTCTACTCTTCTGTCAGGGTGAATTTCTGTTTCTGTGTGAAGCTTTATTATACTGGTTTAACTGAAGACTGTCTTTGGTTTTTCCCAGGTTGCATGAAGAATTAAAGATGGCAAAAAGTGTTGATGGCATACACATCTTGCAGGGTCTATTAGTCTTCGGGAATGTGGTCATTGGGGTGAGTGAAGTGGGACAAGTATGGGTGGATGCTTCCTTCCAGTGTGACGCTTCTTAAAACAGCAGTTCCCAGCTATGAAATCCCTCTTCACATGTGAAGTCCACACATAAATAAACCAGTAAAGTGGGAGAGGAGGAGTAAAGAAGGGCTGTGTTAGCTGATCAGATGGGTGGGGAAGAGACAGCAAGGGTCAGCAGGGGCTGATCCACAAGGCCAACACGAGTTCTAGGGGAAGAGCCCTTGCTGCTGACCAACATCTTTCTAGTCAACTCCGTCCATATAGTGATGGGAAAGGTTCTGTTAATTCTTTCTTAACATCCTCAAGCCCTAGGCCTGAACTCTCAGGTCTAGGCTAGGTGAGTTTTGCCTGCAATTCTTCTGTGAAGGCACCGTACAAGAGATTGTAGAGCTGATCAGGGGAGGAGTTGAGTAGCTCCTGTTTGGCAGGAAGCTGAATGAAAGTGGTCTCTGTCTTTTTCTGTCTCTGCTATTTCTTTGGGGAAGCTTGATCTAATGGATTTCCTGAACTTGCTCTTCTTAGATGTGCGGCATTGCCCTGACAGCAGAGTGCATCTTCTTTGTGTCCGATCCTCATGGTCTCTATCCTCTGCTGGAAGCTACAGAAAATGATGACATCTATGCTGCTGCCTGGATTGGCATCTTTGTTGGCTTTGCACTCTTTGCTCTGTCTATCCTTGGTATCATTGGAGTCATTAAGTCCAACAGGACCTTGCTGCTGGTGGTAAGTGTAGCAAAGTTTGCCTACCAATTGCTGCCAGACCAAAAAAATGCCGCCTCAGTTTCCTTGTTCATCTTGGTGATCACTCACTGAGCTTTTATTAGTGATAAGGAGCCGAAGGATCTTCTTGATCAGGGCTGCCGTGTCCCACAAGATGAATCCTATGAGGACACATGCATGAGAAGCTCCTGAACCAGGTTGAGGCAATTAATGGTGATAGTGACCATGGAGGTTTAAGCTGACTGCATGACCGTGACCTTGCTCTGAAGCAATGCAGAAGCACTTGTGCAATCAGATGTAGTTGGGATGTGGTTTACAGCCTTGTTTCTCCCCACCCCTTGCTGCCTTTCAGCTGTCATATACTATTCAGTTTAGGAGCTGTAAGTGATGACTTCTGTACAAGGCGTTAGTATGTGTTAGTATACCAAATATGGGTGCAATCGAGAACATTAGACATCAGCAGGCAGGCAGAAATTACAGGGGTGGGGGCAGAAAGCTTTGGATAAGCCTGGGGCAATGTTAACATGTGAACAAATGTCTGTACAATTTCTTACTTAGTCTTTTAGGTTGGCAGTGACAAAACTTAACTGGTGCTTTTATTACGAAGGGCAAAGCCAAAAACTCTGGAATCATCTCTCTCTTGCATTAATGTGGGACAGCAGGGTGTCTGTTTTAAATGGGAGACACTTAGAGATCTGAACTCTTATGCCAGGGAATTTTCCAGCAAACAGCTGAGGGAATAGAATTCCCTTAACTCTGAATTTTGGTGTCTTGGCTAAACCCCAAGGCTGTGGTATAAGAGCTAAGAGAGGGTACAAGGGGCAGAAGCTGGGGTAAAAGGGAAACATATGCCTGGAATCTAAGAAGTACACTATAAAATGTGAGAGGAAAAACAGAGACACAAGAAATCCAAAGGGAATATGGGAAAGGTTAAAGGGATTGTGCTGAGAAGGGAAGAGAAACAGTGAAATGGACTGTGAGAGGTGATCCTCGGGATCTGTTTTCATGAAGAATCTTTGTTCACAAAGTAGGAGTGCTAAGGAAATCTGACAATGCAAAATCAGGAGGATCTGAATGACACCCTAAATTGCACCTTCTGTTTCCCCAAAGTACAAGCTCTCCTGCTAGGAGTGAACAGCTTTTTGCTGAAAAGCTTACAGCTGGCAAGTGGAAGTGGAAGGAGGAGATATGACACAAGCATAAGTTGCCAATGAGACGCAACAAAGAAAAGGGCAAATGTTATTCGAGGATGTATCAGGCAAAGTGCTTTCCATAGATGCAGTGTGGTATTAATGCCATGAGGTTCTGATGAAATCTTGTCTGTGAGATGGAGAACAATTCCAGTCATACACCTTCAAGGGAGCAGATTGTAAACTGAAACAAGCACAGGGAAGGGCTACATGGATGTTCAGGGGCACGGGGAGGACTGAGGAGACTATGATAGCCTGGTCTCCTTTGCCTTGAGCAGGGTTTCAGGCTTAATCTTGAAAAAACTGTTTAACTTTCTCCAAGAGCTAACTCTACTGTCTGTCTCTCACAGTATATTATCCTGATGCTGATCACTTATGCATTTGAAATGGCTTCTTGCATCACGGCAGCAACTCACCGAGACTTCGTGAGTATTTCTTTCATCATGTATTCTTTCAACTGCACTGGGAAATGTTGCAGTTCTAGAGCATAAAGTGGTCCTGTTCAGTGTAGTAAATGGCTTGTGTGGTAGAATGGTGTAAACTCAAAGGACTTAGAGTTAGACCCCATAAGGAAACTCTCCAGTGTAATCACTCTAATCAAGGAAATAACTTTGTTCTTTTCAACATAGTTTTGTTATTTTTAACATTTTAAAATGTTTACAAGCTTGTAGTTATGGAAATAATAGTGTGGGTTAGCTGAATCATCAATACAGTGTTTAGTCTTTCAGCTACAGACTGATTAGTCTATCATACATGCAGAAGACAAATATTCAGCATTGCCTCAGGCAGTGTTACTAGTGAGGGAAAGATTACGTGGGTTATTGGAGATATTGGTAGGGGAGGAAACGACTTGCGGTGCTTTAATTCCAAGCAACATATCAAATGTAACCCATAGCTTCTGCACATCTCCTGTGATCTGATATCTGGTACAGCCTGATTAAGAGTTATGTTCAAGATCTACATCTTTGTTACTTCTGCTCTTAAAATCCTGCTGTAAAACTGTGGGAGAAACAGCATTCCTGTTCTCCAGCAGGACACTGAAACAAGCAAACAAACCCACCCCAAATAACCCTATATTTGCTTTACATGACCACTTTTACTTACATAGTTCCTGCATTCTTCTCTGTTCTTTTTTTTTTTTTTCTGTAGCTCACTCCAAATGTCTTCCTGAAGCAAATGCTAGAGAGGTATCAGAAGTCAGAGGCAGACAATAACAATGACAAATGGATGACTGAAGGGGTCACAAAGACATGGGATAAACTCATGCTTCAGGTAATAATAACACTGAAAACTCACTAATTACTAAACGCTCTGCAGCCCTGGAATTTCAAGTCCTCCTTGGGGCCGCTTGGTAATAAAGAGGACAGCATCTGCCTTGAACCTTAAAGAAAGTCTTGCCACACTCCCCATTTCAATCATTTATCAGATGGCAGACTGTCAAAGGGAGACACTTCAAAAATCTCTCCCATAAATCTGTGGTTAATGCCTAACTCTGGTCCAGCCTTGTGCAGAGCTGTGACCTGGGCCCATAAAGTCTGTCCCCTCTCTCTCCCCGCAGAACCAGTGCTGCGGGGTGCAGGGCCCCTCCGACTGGCAGGAGTACACGTCCGCCTTCCGCGACACGCACAGCGACGCCGAATACCCTTGGCCGCGCAACTGCTGTGTCATGGACGCCCAAGGGTCTCCTGTCAACCTCGATGGCTGCAAGCTCGGAGTCCCCGGCTACTATAACAGCAACGTAAGATGCTCTCTGCTTTTTCCAGTTAAGATATGTTGGTCAAAAGCGCCTTGATGGAAGGGAAGGAAACAGTGAATAGCCTTCCTCCTCCCCTGTAAGCTACAGGTGTTCAAAAGATTTCTGGACGAGAAGCAATGCCTGTAAGGTCCTAACCATGTTGCTGAACACAGGATAGGTTGTAATAAAGGTTTTCCTGATGGGCAGAGAACTATTAAGAAAACTCTCCCAATGCCACTAGTAAGAAGTTACATCTCCAACTTGTAGATGGACAGTAGCTAAATCAAACTCAGCCCAAAGATGAATGCATACAATACAAGTGAGCAGTTCTTCTCCTCAAGGTAGAACTTTTCAGTAGACCAGCTTGTCCTATTCAAACAGATTGCTGGGCCATGAGCTCCAACTTCTGCACTAGCAAGCATTTCTAGAAGGCATTCAAGCTTCCAAGTTTGCCTGCATCTTCTTGATTCTGGAGGTCAACTCTGTGTTGGCTGTGTTTGGTTATATATACATACACTTGACATGTGGATGGCACAGGAAGTTGTCCTTGAAGTGTCTGAGATGGGTCTACTTCATATTTGGAGCTAGAAACAGGTAGGCTATCTGCAAGTTGTCAATAAACAGCATAGCTCTGGCTTGTCTTCTTGAGATCCCGTGAGATACACAAATTGCAACAGGGGAGTAGCATGCCACCTCCGTCTCTCTCAGAGGTGGATAAGCTTGTTGTCTTGTGGTACAAGCTCAAAGCTGGCGTTGATTTATTCGTGGTTGTCTTACAGGGTTGTTACGATGCTATTTCCGGGCCAATGAACACACATGCCTGGGGTGTTGCCTGGTTTGGTTTTGCCATCCTCTGCTGGACTGTAAGTACTTAATATTTGCCTTTATTTCCTCTCCACTTTTCTTGCTAATCCACACCCAGCTGGATGGAGGTGGATGACAGGACTGATGCATTTAAAATGTCTGTATGTTATAGTTATTCATTCATCACCAATCTGCCTGTAGCCTGTTCCACTAACAGGACTATATTTACAAGTTCCCCTCTAGTTTGGCTTCCACAGGTGAGGAACTAGATGGCCTTATAGCCTGCTGTGGTCTGCTGCAATACAACACAGCTTGTAGATATTTGTTTGTGAAGGGTATTGGATCATCTAAACAGTAATCATGACAGATAATTCAGTTTCTAGTTCAAAGACTTTGTATGAGTGTTTTGAGTACTCAGGGTTCAGCAGCTTTGTGACAGATAATCCCCAGCAAGCTGAGTCATCCAGTCAAATAGTTATGGCTGCACATACATTTTTTCTTCACTGTGAATCTTCTGTGCAGATAAAAAACTCTAAGCCTCCTCTGCCTGAATGGACTTTTCTTATCAAGAACTGCTGTGGCTCTCACCTACCAGTAGGACTAAATTGGGCTCCTGGGGGAGAGGTGAGGAGAGGTTGAAAGGGAGCAGAGAAACTTAGTAGTCTTGTCGTTTCAGTTCTGTGTTCTCCTTGGTACCATGTTCTACTGGAGCAGAATTGAATACTGAAGGCCCTGTGTCCTCAGCACTGTCCTGAAGCACCGTGTGAAACTGCATTTGTTCGTCTCCTGCTCGATTCAACTTGTGCCACGGAGGACTTGAAGTTTTCCCGCTACCTCTCCCATATATACTTTTTCCCCTCCAAAAAGTTGACACAGAGAGCTGATGACTCCAGGAAAGAATCTTCTTGTCCCTTCTTTGCCCCTTGTTCTGCAGCCTTAATGCCTCCTGGCTGAGGCACATCCTTCTTTTGTTGTTCAAGGAATTCTTGGAGCATAAGATAAAAAGTGATCTGATTTGTCCTGTGATGACATCAGAACGGGAAATGTCCATATATGCTTGCTCCAGAAAAATGTCTCTTTAAAACTAGGTTGATGTAAATCATACTGTTAAAGGCTCTAGAAAGGGCTATGTGAGCAAAACTGTAACCTCCTGTGACCAATAAAGACGGATAGAAGGGAGAAGACTGCAAACCTCTCTGATATATTTTATCGTTCAACTTCTGTTCTTGGTCTCTGTCACCCCTTGCCTTAGAATAAGGCAGATTCTCTAAAATTTTAAGTGTGTCAGCAGTAAAGACGTGTCACAGGAAAAATGTCTGTTGCTAGTGAAGCCCAATAAAAGGCTAGCTCACTCCTCAGCAATATGCTGCCTATATTCAAGCCTACCTCCTGTCACTGATGAAACTACTGCATGTGCTCCTACCTTCATAACTGCCAGTCCAGGAAAAGCTCCACTTGCTAACAAGCAACTCCTTCAAAAAGCTGTTAGGTACTTCACACAAGATTTCACACGTTTACTGGCTAGAATTTGTGCAGAATACAAGGGGTCCTCTGCCATAGTTGGCTTTGAGAAAGTGACTGTCCCATGCTCCCAGATTACCATGCTTTTTGCTTCAGTTATCTGCACGTGTATGGTCATGTCCCCTGTGTACTTCCCCTTCCACATCCCTGGATCAGGTAGGATAAAAGGCAAATAATGACAATGAGTAACTCTTGTGAAAAATGCAGTCAAGTAGCTAATTGAACTAAATCCAGTCCTTGCATCAGCAGTTACAGTTCTCACTCAGTTCAACAGAGGCTGTTTACTTTGTCCAAGACTGATTTGGTGTTTTCCCTAGCAAATGCTTCAGTAATTATATGTGTCATGTGAAATATGCTCCTGTATAGAACGTTTTAAGGTGAAGCCTCTTCCTAAGGTGTAGTGGTTCAGGTCCTGACACTTCCCAGCTGCCTTGATTTTTTGTTTTTGTATATTCACCCAGATACTAATTAAAAACAAATGGAAGTGAATTTTTTTTTTTGTTGTTCAAGATGGTGTGTTTGGGAAGGGGAAATGATAAAGGTCTGGGTCTGGGACATCTGGGGCAGTGCACAGGCAGGCTTTACAGTCCTGTAACCCTGTCCTGGAGATCAGAGTGCAAGCACCATCATGCACGGTGCAATAGAAGCTCTGTAGCTGAATAGTCCCTTGCTAGGGTGCTGGGGGAGAGAAGCAGGCGGCTATGAGTGCGAATAACTTGAGGAGGAAACAGATCCCTGCAACATAGAAGGGGTTTTCAGTATCAGTGTGCCTTCAGAAAGGAAAAGCCCCATGGATCAGCCCCTCCATTGGTTCAGTGGAGTGGTGACTGTCTTGGAGACTCTGGCCTCTCAGCAATTTCCATAAAGAAAGTAGTCTTCAGCACTTTTTTGTGAGGTTTCAGGCATGGATGGACCATGCAGATCATGTGTGTCAGTGGTCTGGATTTATTTTTGAAATGGGGTTGAAGTTTGGTGGTAGGGTTGGGGGGTTTTTATAATACCTAAATCTAAAGAACTCTAAAGAGAATGAGTGTCTACCTAAGTTAGGTAGCAATAGTAAAGACTGGATTCTCTGACACTTGCCATGAACAGCAAATCTCTGCCAATTGCGACAGCAGAGAGGAGAGAAGTGGGGGAGGAAGGACAGTGTGGGCACACAGCCTCTGTCTTCACTTGGCCAAACACCTCCAATAACCCCTCAGTCACGGCAGCCTTTGTGGACAGCCACACTCCAGCACAAATGTCTCTTGCTCGAGTTATTTCTGAAACTTACGTAGCTCTGCAAATGGGTGAAACATCTGGCTATAGGACTTTTGAGAGACTAGCAGGGTCTTCTCCATATAGATGTGGCTGGAGATATGGCCTGGAGAAAACTCTAGGACCATAGAAGAAGATCATTTCAAATATTATTCTACTCCTCTGGTCTTTTGCTTCAGACCTGGAGGTTTCTTTCTTCCTGCTCCTTGTAAACGTGGTGTGATTATGGCATTGAGCACAATACAGAGAAAATGCTGCAGGATTCTGCAGAAGAGGAACTGAGACCACTTTAAGTAGACTACTGTGGTATTAACTGTTCCAACCTGTTGCAAATGATACCATTGACCTATTGCATAAGCAGCAGCTTAAGCCGATTAAGTTTGGGTTCTACAAATTTGCTTCCTGCTTCTTAAGACTTTCCCTCATGCTGAGCTTTATGATTTATGTTTTAAAATTAAAAGCTGTGATGCACAAGTGATCCAGGCAATGGTGGATCTTTGGAGAAGTGCCAAACATGCCACAATGCAACCAGAAAAACCCAGCTTTATCTGACTGAAATGAGGAGGAAGAAAACTGGACTGATGGCAGAATGATGTTGAGCAGGCTCGTGAAAAATCCTGCACAGCTTTTACTGGTTTTTCTGCTTCTGAAGGTTGATTCCAATCTCTTCAAGTTCCCTACCTGGGGTGCCAGGGGAAGGTGAGGAAGGGATGGATTCTGTGACAGGAATGGTGGTGAACTGGTTTATGTGTTGGCTGAGGCTCATAAAGAAATCCTGGTCATTCTCAGTTGTTTGAATTGCTGCCTGAAGGTATAGATGTATGTGGTCGTCAGAGCAGGCAGTATGCACATGTGCATGAAAACTGCTGGACTACGACAGGATGAAGAAAAAAAATCTCCAGATGGAAGCAGTGTGGTTTGTTTGCAGATTTGCTCTGTGTATTTCTTCTCTGCAGGTGTGAATATTCACAGTTCTCTCCTGGCAAAAAAAGCGTGTTTCAGTTCTCCCATGGAGTTACCGACTGTATTTTTAGATTATTAATTTATTGTAATATTCCCAGCTCTAAGAAATCAGAGTCTTGCTGAGAAACATCCTCTGTTCATACTTGACAGAGAAGCGTGGCTTCCAAGCCAACAAGAATCCCAAATCCTCAGCTGCTCCCCTCCCGTACACACACAGACATGACCTGATGTCTCTCACACTGTTGAATGTTTGTGGCTGGTAGTACTGAAGGTCTCTGTTCCTCCAGGCAATGGGGAAATGTGGGGCTGCCTTCGTGTATTTTGCCCCTTGCCCCCATTTTTCCAACAGGCTTTCCTACCCCTTCCTCCTTTCCCCTCACTGCTTCTTCTTCTTCTGCATGAGATCTCTTTGCACAGACTCTCTCAGGCACTATTTCTCCTTACCTTGTTAGTTCATATACAACACAGACTGCCCATTACGTGCCGTGCTTGCGTCTGGCTACTCACCTCATTGAGAAAACCAGCAGCCAGGCTGTCGGTGGCGTTCGGTATCCTCTGACTCAGATGATTTATTCCCCATCCTGCTCACTGCCCTGGCATCTTAGTTCTTCACATTCCTTACAACAGGGACTTGTGCCAAGCAAATGTTTATTGGGACCAAGTATGACCTAAAACTAGCTCATAAATGAAGCCTCCTTCTCCCATCCCTTGGCAGCCCTGCCCTCTTTGGCAACTGGGGAAAGCCTGTGCAACGTGTGGTATGCTGGGAACCTCCTGCAAGAACTCTCCTTGTAATCTCAGGCATCTATCTTCAGGAGATCCTGCTGCGTGAGGAGTTGAGGATGACTGCTGGGGGTTTATCCTCAACAGGAAAAAAAGGTGAGGGTGTTTCTGACTGTGTTAGCTTGCACGCGAGGTGAAATTCCAGCATAGGCAAGGTCATCCACAGTTCTTGCACGCTCACTAGTTGAGATAAACTCTGCAAGAGATCTAAGTGATGGGCAGTGAGCTGCTCTGGCTGCTCGGGACTGCTACTGACTGTGGATGAATGCAGGACTGAAAACCTTCCCTCTGACTAATTTTTCTGAGGCAGCGCTCACCTTTAGCAGAGTACTGTGGCTGGTACAGAGGCTGGAGAAGGTAAAGCCAAGACACTTTACATAATCCCTGAAAATAACCAGTCTGCTCTTTTTACATCTCTCTTCTGCCTCCACTGTCTGTCCCTCAATGTTTAAAGCAAATTACCTCACAATACAAAAAAAAGGTGAGTAAAGAAGTTTGTGAGCACCTATTTTTTCAACCTAAACTTCTTCTCGACTCTTATGAAGGAGGAGGGAAAGAAGGAGGAATTTAAATGATAGAGAGCTATGTGGTCCCTGTAGCAGATGTGCTACGGAAGAAAACATGTCCAGTTTAAGATGTATCTGGACCCAGAGTGCATCACATTATTCATATGCATTTTCTAGGTTTCCAAAATGTAGTTCATCTCAGACTGCAGTTTGCAAATAAGACATGAGAAAATAGCTACCCTTTTTTATTATGGAATGAACCAAACATTCTGGCTTTAACACTCACGCTCTAGCTAACTTTTGGGGGCATCAGGACTTGGCCAGGTCTGAGCTTCACAGTTCCCAAGCATTTCTAATCCTTAACTCTGAAACTGTTCATCCTTTACCCTTGTGGTGAGACATGTACTTTGAAAAGTTTATCCTGCTCAGATGGAAAATGATCTCAGAGATCTCACCATCTTTCTCCATCTTGGCCATTATGACCCTCTTCTTTTCTGCTGTTGTTGACGCCTGTGCCACCTTGGCCTAAGTCTCCCCCACTGGGCTGATTTTGCTTCTGTGCACTACCTGCCTTCCCTTTGCTGCCGGTCAACCGTTAGCTCCATCCAGTGGGATACCAGATAGACATGCTCTACACATGCTCCGGACTCCTGTGTTGCAAGGAGGATGCAGCAGACACTGGTATCAAGCGCTCTCTGGCTCTGGGTTAGATTGTTTCCTGGTTAACAGCCAGTTTGGGAATTTGCTTAATCCTGCTTTTGGCTTAGCTGAAAGTATCCAAGATACAGATGGTGCTTCCAATACAACCTACACGGATGTTTTTCCTGAGTCAGACTTTCAAACTCGTAGTGATGAGAAAGCAGGCAAAAGGAATTGGCTGGAATTGTGTTCAAGCACTTTCACGTGTTTAAGCACCCTGATTTAGGGCACAGTGATGAGTGGAGTGTGACTAGATCTGCAGTGTGACTTTCACTCGATTTTCATAACCCTGGGAATGTTGGGGGGAAGGTTAAGATTCTCCTCTTGTCTTATCGCCAAGTCATTGCTAGACTCTGTGGCACAAAGAATGCAAAAAATACTGTTTGTCGTGCAACACTAATAATTGGCTATGGCTAACAACAATTACAGAGGTCAGCAGACACGGTTTTCTCTCCCACTTTGTGTGCCAGTTGCCATAGCAAGCAGGAAGCACAGCCCAGGCATTTTCCTAAAGGGAAACTGAAGTCATGAAGGAGGTAGGAAAGGGAGTCAAGCCCTGAATTCAGCTGCTGAGTAGGGAAAAAAATTCTTTCATTTAACCTAGTGATTCACCTGGTGTTTAGGGTGAACAAAGAGCGGGCTGAACTGCAGGTATGCCCACTGAGGCTACAACCACAAGAACCCCTCTCTTTTATTTTTTCTTTTTTTTTTGCCCCAGGCTAATGGACAGATATTAATAATATTCACTTCCATGCTACAGCTCAGAGATTGGATCAATGAGGGCACTGCAAGAATCCAGAGAACCAGGAAACTTAATTCATAATTTTTTTGAAGTTCTTGCTTGTCCTTTACAAATCAACAGAACTGCATACACGATGAACCAGAAGTTTCATAATAACTTATCTAGTTCCAGCTCGTCTTCTCCTCTACAAGTATTTGGATCTCAAAGTATTTCTGTACTCTGCTCTGCATTACTCTACATTATCACAGGCAAGACAGAATTCTGCAGGAGATGGGCTAAATGGGAGGATGTGGTTGTGCATCACTGAAACTTCAGACTGGAAGAACTAAAAATGGTAAGAAAAAAGATGAGTTTTACCTTTGGAAATTTTAAGACATTTCAGATAACGGTAATTCTACAGAAGTCTCCAAACCCCCACTTAATTTTCAGAGCTGCAGAGCACCTTCAGCCCTCATAACCTCCCATCAGAAAAGTGTGTGAGCAGGCCCTAACCTTCATCCCCACAGTCAAAACCCAGAAAAACACAGTTTAGTGCCCTGGCCACTCACACAACAAAAGAAGGGCTCAAACTCCATGTCAGAGGAAGACAAATGCATTTGCACTGCATTCATAAACCAAATCCAGTAAAAAGAAAATGTTTCAAAACATCACTAGGGCACAGGTCTGTTTTTATAAAAACTCCAGTTTAATCTCATGGCTGAGACCTGGCAAAACATCTTGGACTTTTGTGGTTGTTGTTTTTTTTCTTTTTTTTTTTTAAAGCAATAAGGCACAAAGGCAGGCAAGTCCACACAGAGAACAAAGCTTAACAAAAATACGATCCATTAGAGCTAGTGGGAGAAATAATCACAAACCAGGGCCAGTGGGATGGGGACAGTCCTTTTCACAGTGTCTGACTTCCAGCCCTTCCCTTGACCTGGCAGCAAATAGTATTTCAAAGGGGACCAGTGCCTGCAAGAAGAAGATCCAAGGTCTGGGCTGCTGCATGGAGCCCTCAGGAAACACTTGTCTCCTGCTATCCCTCCTTTCCAGGGCTGATAAAGTTCAGCTCCATCTCCAGTTGAACTTAGTGGCAAGTTTTCCATTGTTTACTTGGAGCAGAATTAGTTATCACCAAGCCTTTACACTGTTTAGAAGCAAGCAAAAGCTAAACCAAACTGAGATCAGCTACAGCTTCTTCCCCACCCCTAGAGATTGACTTTTTTTTCTAGAGATGGAGAGAAGCAAAAGGGACAACTGAAAATCCTGGGCATGCCTGGAAGGTTATATATGCTCCAGTAGATTGTTTGCATTTTCAAGGACTGAGGAGAAGCCTGTGGTGGAAAGCTAAATTAGTCCTTACACTCTGGTCTCACCTGATTTTATCTCTCCTCTCCGAGGACATGACCCAGATGAAGGCGGCAGATTGAGGCCTTCTTCCCACCACAGATTAGCCAGAACTCATTAGCTTCTCCTCTGTGGGCAAAGGCTGATCTCACACCCTTGGTGCTACAAAAGTTGCAGCAGAAAATAGTTCCATGCATCAGCCCAAGTTTCACAGATGTGCAGGGTTCTATTTAGGCAATTCCTTCATTTTAATTACATTTCCTTTTTAATATATTTATATAGAATGTTCTTTTATATATATATATATATATGTATATATATATATAAATTTAACACAATATTCACCACTACAGGCATTTCAAAATTCATAAAGAAAGAAAAAAGAGTTTGATTGCACCATTTGGACTCTGGATGAGGGAAAACATTGCAGGGCTTTATGGATGCTCTCTAGTACAGACCTAAGCTCCTCTGAAGCTCTAAAGGTGAAAAAATAAGTGCTTCAGTCTTTCTGAAGTGATAGCATGGGATGGACAGCCTAGAGGAATGTGGTTTATAAGATAAAATATAATCCTCATTTCTGTTTATTTTTCCACCCATGCTCCCACATGAGCTAACATTTTCCATGTCCCTCCTTTCTATCAGAGGATTCCCACCTTTGTCAGCCCAACCTTTCCACTCTGAGCTACGCTTGACAGAAGCTGCACAACCCCCCTGACTACATGGGAATAATAATTGAAATTTAGTCACTTGTCTCCCATTGGTAAAAGTCCATGAGCAACACATGTTGGTGATAGCATATCAAGACTGAGACTGAGGCCACCTGCAAACTTGGGAATGGCCTTTACACCCTTCACAGTCTCAGGAGAATCAAAATGTACTGCAGGGTCCTTGAAATGATCCTTGCAGAGCTGCAAATGATGTGACAGTCTGTTTAGGAAGATCCTTTCCATAATGCCAAGAGCAACAGACTTAGCTCTCCTGTACACAAAACTTCAAATTCTGGGCCAGACCTATCTCCCATAAATATAGCCTATCCCTCTCCATAATGCTTCACAGGAAAAAAACAAAACAAAACAAAACAAAAAACCAACCAACCAACCAAACAAAACAAAACAAAATTTAAAACCCACCAAACTCCAAAACAAGCAAAAACTCCCAAATCTTTTCTTGAGGTCTCTAATGTTGCAGGGTTGTGTTGGAGGGCAGGAATTCGGTACCCTCAATGTACCACTGCAAAACCCTGAATGAACTTCAGAAGAGCTTCAGGTCTCAGGTTCAGTCTGCTTCTGCGGGGTGGCAGAAGACAACTTAAGGGCCCTGAAGCAAAGGTGACATTGGGTCTGACCCTGAAGCTGACCTGAGGAATGGCTTAATAAAGTTGGATCTCAGGAAGCTCCAACCACACAGTCAGCACCATTCGATGGGAGGTGGCTTCTGTCCTTTGGCTCTGTTCAACTATCAAACCCTGGTCCTTGAAGCTGACTGCAACTATCAGTACCAACACAGACCTACCATCAAGCATTACAAACTCTGCAAAAGTCTGAGTCTGGAGCTGGGAATGGTGACCCCCATGCAGTGGTGCACTTTGCAACTAAGCAAGTACTCCCAGCTCTGCAGCATCTGGGGCTTTATCTCAGGGCTCTTAATACAAGCCCACCAGTGTCCATAGAGCAATAGTGATGTGCCTGCATTAAGCCCACTTGGCTGGGCTCTTAGAAGTTTGATACATCAGCTGAAGACTGGAGATTAAATTGTAGATAGAGATGGAATCAAGCTACAAAGTAGAGACGTCATTTCAGAATTTCTGCTTAATTAAAATCCAGGACCTGGGTCTGAGTTCAGATTCTGAAACACCCTTAAAAAGTATAGTCTGGATACATATTTTAGCTGAGGCTGATCTTTAATATTAAGTAAAGATTTCTAATAATTTTCTCTTGCAGGAATTTCACCACTTATGCCAAAAGCACTATTGCTTACTGGAACGCTATTAAGAGTTGAGACAGTGTGTTATATACAAATTGCCAGACCTCATTTCTCGTTCATAAATCATCTTATATGAGAATAAGGAGGGAAAAAAAATAAAAAGAACAGTTTTAAGGTGCCAAGGTTTCATCACATTTTCTTTTTCTTTTGATACATTACTTCGTGAGCTTCACTGGCTCCGTTCCAGATGCCTTGGCAGTCAAAACTTCTAGGAACTGAGAGAATATAAATCCCTGTCCAAAGTAAACTGTTTTGTTGATGCCAAAAAAACCTGGGCATCATTTCCACAACTTTTACTTTCTCTAAAGCCTTACCACAATACCTTGTATCACACCTTCCCAAGTCATTTGCCATTAACCCAGCCGTGGTGGTTAAAGGCTTTCCCATGAGGCAATAAAAAAGGCATTTGGGTGCCAGGTAAATGCAGCGCAGAGCTGTGCTAACTATGAGGAGCATGGAGGACTGGCAATCCCCTAATTTTAATGGGAGGCTGCACAGGCATCTTATGGTCTGGGAGGAGGATAATTGTGATGAAGCTGCATATTCTGGACTTGTTAAATGGCTTGCCCTGGTAAAGCATAGGCTGACATCTGTGAGAGAACATGGATCCGAACAAGAACTCCAGGCTTTTGTCTAGTTTAGTATTCTCCCTCAACAAAACTGACAGCATGGACTTAGTGCTCTGCCCTGCTGCCTCTTGCATGATGTTATGCACAAATAAGGAGCACAGTGGGGAGGATCAAAGACTGCAACTAGTGACAGGGAAAGCCCTCTTGTTTTTTCATGCTCCCTTTGCATAAGACAGGAGAAAATTCTGCTGAAGATACGTTCCTTGTATTTGTGAGTCCAGAATTTCTCAAAAGCACTCTGGCATCTCTCCCCTTTAGCAATCAAAGAGCGCAGAGAAAGCATGGTACAGGGTCTGGGCCCTCCAGCTGCAATGACACTAATCAAGTGACACATTCAGTACAGACCAGGAGCTCATGGATTGAGTTTGCTAACAATTTGAAAATGCCAGTACTTCAGAAAAAAAAGCCCTAAACATACACCCAATAGGAAATTCTGGCTGACACTCATTGTGGTGGCTACAGCACTTCCTACCAGATGCTTAGCTACCGCTTAAACTCCAGCCCATAATACCCGTTGGAGGGCCTACAGACTCGGGCATCTTCACGAATGATGGCCCCTGCATGCACCCTTACAACGACAGTCTCAGTGCTGGCAGCAACACCTGTGTCCCCGTCTCCTCCGTAGTCACTAGTGACACTTAAATTGCAGAGACAGCATGGGCTGTACCCGACTTGGCAGTCACCCACGGTCACATACCAGGCAATAGATGAGCCTGCGGTGAACGTCGAGTTAGAGGCTTTATAAAGGAAGCTTTAATTCTATTCCCATGGCAGCTGTTGCTTATATGAACGTGTATTTGCCTGTAACAATAATGGCCTTTCAGGAGAGAGTTTAATTCACTTCAAATCCCCGTCTCAGGAAATTGTTCATGAACTGTTCTGCAGTCCCACAGATCATCCTCTTTACCATACCCTTAATCAATCTGAAAGCACTGAGGGCCAGGGAGGTGACAACCAGCTATGCTCTCAACAAAACAGTGTAAAATCACAAGGAAAGGAGGTTTAAAGGAAGAAGGAGCACCTGGGGACATGCCACACAGTGGCAATGAAAGACCAAGGGTCAAAGATATGTCATTCAGGGTGCAAGAGGGCAATACCCCAAGGACATGCAGATCATAAGATCCTCTTGCTTTTCTCTGCTGTTGGCAGTGTGGAGCACAGCTGGAGATAGTTGCAGAGTTGTCATCTGGCTTTAAACAATGATGAAAATAGTTGATACTGGCCTTTGCTACAATATTTTTGCTTTCATTGATACCAGCCTGAGAAGTCTCTACCACTGGACAGCCAGCTGCACAGGCGTTCCCCAGCCACACGGATCTTGTCTGCCCAAGGAAGGTGTGGCTGAGCACAACAAAACTCATGAGCAGGACTTGGAAGATTAAAAGAACAACTAAGCATTTCCTGTCCAGCTACTTTCATTCCAGCTCTTGCACATGCTGGAAAGAGCACATCTTCGATGCAAGGATGGAGCAGGAGCCAGCGCCTTCAGGTTGCGTATTTGTCACTGGAACATCCTTGGGTGTCTCACACTCTGTGTGACTTGCTCATGCCAGCTTTGCCTTCCTCTTCAGCTATCCCCAGGCTCCTGCACTGTTTATTTACCCCGCCTAAATCAGACAACAGAGGTGGATAGGCATAGTCCTTCACTGGTGGATGGAAAACAATGGAAGGAGGCCCCAAACATCTAGACTTACCTCCTCAACAGATATCGTGCCCCTGAGCCCTGGGCTGCAGTGCTTTGGAACAGTCTTTCCTCCCAGCCCTATTTTCTAATTATACTGAGATTTATTTTTCCTTTTTTCCATAGGGAGGATGAGACTTTCACAAGGCTTGCTAGACAATAAGTATGAGGAAATGCAAGTTCCTTGGTACTGGCTTACAAAAAAAAAAAAAAAAAAAAAAAAAAAAAGGCAGACAGTGAGGGACTAGGCAGCAGTAAGAAAGGGAAGGAAAAGCAAGACAAAAAGACTATGACCCTCCTCAGCAAAATGCTTCTCAGGAAACCGTAAAGAATTTGGGTCCATCTTGCACAAAATAGTTATAACAACAGCAAAATGGCAACAGAGTTAGTCTTGGACACTCCCATTCCATCCACCATGGAAAAGGAGTAAGAGGAGCAGTTGCTATTCAATCTGCCTCCCACTTCGTCCATCCAGAATCACAGAGCGCCTCTGAGGCTGGTAAAAGCAGCTGGTAGAAGTCTCAAGTCTCTGGCCATTCTTGGGGATGGTCATTTTGTTCCGCAGCGTCACCCCCTCAGGCGTTGTCTGTGAAGTCTCAGACAGATCGCCACAAATGGGACTCGAAGAGGTGGTCTGAGTGGGGCTCCTTATGGGTGACAACAACACCCTGGAGTCTGCTGAAGAGGAGGGGTGGTCCATAATGGGGAAAGGGGGACTGAAGAGAATCAGGCTCTGGGGCCTCCCAGGCCTAGATCTATAGGAAGGCTTGGAGAACCCTGATGGCCTCTCCATCTTTGAGGACTGTGGGTTATCTCCAGCTGTCTCCCCCTCAGAGGTGCGCTTTCGGCGCAGAACAGGGGCATCCAGAGCTGGGTAATGACTGGACCGAGGTGGCTCCAGCGGAGAGCCAAGGCTGCTGTGCCAAGGACAGGCTGAGTCCGTTTGAGCTGGATCACTGTTTTCTTTCTCCGCTTTGGCTTTCTTCTCTATCAGCGGGCTCTTGGGGGTCTCCAGGTGGCCCCATGCCACACGTTGAGTCTGCCTGACAGCCTGCTTGGCTTCTGCTTCCTTCTTCTCGGCCGGTGGAGCAGCGTTCTGAGCCTGCAGGGGCTGGGGGATCTGAGTGTACTGAATCTTGGGTGGTATCACGGGCACTGCTCTAGCCTGGCACATCTTAATCATGAAGGAGGTCCTGACCGCCGACACACTGACAGGGGCAGAGTTACGGCGACCAGTGGTGGCATGGGCCACTGCCAGGTAATCCAAGTCTAGATCCACGTGACCACTGAAATGAGACCCCCAGGGAACACCTTTACTGGCAGCAGGGCAGGCAGTTGGCAGGGATGGGACAGAATCACTGCTTTTTACTTCCTTCTGCCCGCAGAGGAGGTTCCCAGGGGCAGGGGGCATGGACAGGCTCTCGAATGTGAAGAAATCTGGGGCTGGAAGGAGTGAATCCAAGTTGAGGGACGATGGTCTGGTCTTCACTTTGCGAGGTGTTTCTTCACCTTTATTACTCAGCTGTGAATCAGTGGCAGAGCACAATGCTTTGGTGACAGTATCACCTCCCAGGGCAGTGTCCTGAGACATGGATAACTCCTCCTTTGTGTTCTTCACCTGTGAAGAACTGCGTGGGCTCTTTTGGTATGGTAAAGACAGCTCAAGATCTGAGCTCCAAGGGTTTTCTTTGCTCACCTCCACTTTCTTTTCCCCTGGCTCTGAAAGAGGGGTTCTGGAGGGTCCTTCTTTCTCAGCTGGTGCTTCCTCTCTGCTGGCAGGGTACTTCACCTCCTCAGGTTTTGAAGGTTCTTCTGCAGAACTTGTGCTATTCTCCTCTTTCTTAGCTTTGCCCAAATTAGAGGGCGAGATGGGTTGTGTTTTGGGCAGCTCACAAGTCACTGGCAGAATGTCACTGCATGGTTGCTGCTGGTCAGTGACATCTATGAAAGAGAATGGGATAGTCCACAGACTCATCACTGTGTCTTTGCTGTCCAGGGAGAGGCTGCGACTGAATCGTGGTCTAAGAGAAAGTCCTGTCTCTGCTCTCTGTCTCTGTGGCTGAAACTCCTGTATCATCTTCCCCTGAATGTCCTTAAAGGTGGGGGAATGGAGTGGGCTTGTAACCCACTGGTGATCCTCCCACGGCTCCACAAGTTCTAAGCTCTGCACATTATCTGTCCAGGTATCCTCATCATCCTGGTCACCAGCATCATGGGTTCTGCTAATAGAGTTGCCTTCCTTCAGCTCCTGAATTCCAGCTCCGCTCAGTGCCTTGGAGAAGAATGTGTTCCTTTCATCAGTGGTCAGTATCTCAGGCTTCTCCCTCTGAGACTGGACTCTGCTAAGACCATCCTTTTCCCTCTGCAGCTGACCAGTGCTATCTTTTTCTCTCCCTGACTCTGGACATGCTCCTTTGGAACAAGAAAACTCATCGCTTGGGGCAAGGTCATTAAATTCTGATTGACTATGAAGCTTCCAGTCCAGGGGAGGAGTGAGGCGTTCACTCGGGCTGTCCACCACTGGGTGGGGGTTCTTTGGAGTGGCTGTGCCAGTAGGAAGAGTACCCAGTTTGGGTAGGGCTGAAGCACAGCTCTGCTGTGCAACCACATCAGACTGGCAGTTGTGGAGGGTATCTTGTTGTTCTGTGCTGGTGGCACCGAATAAAGGCACCTGAGTTGCTATCTGGGGTGTTCTGCTTGCCGATTTCTCCTCAGACAGTGTGGGACTCTGCCCTGGGCCAGAGGAATAACTGTCTGTTTGTATTGAAGAAGAGGATTCAGAAATTAGGCCCTTCTTGTGGACAGTTGCAGGCAAGAGCAAGATCTCCTCTTCAGGTTCGATAATTTTCAGTTCCTGCTGTATCTCTGGCCACAGTGGTTCTAGAAGGGCATTCGCAGAGTCTTCCTCAGTCTGAAAAACAGAAGAAATGCTATGACTTGTCACCTCACAACTTACCAGTAAATACCCCTTCATTTTCCTCAAACTGCCCTCTCTAGAAAAAATAGATAGGCTCCTGGATAAGCACACTTATGGGTACAGAAACACAGACACACATACTTCTAGCAGTCCAAGAAAGGAAATATGTCTATAAACAAGTGGGTTATGCAGCAGAAGATCTGAGGTGCAGCCAAAATGCAGCCTGGATAGATGTACTGAAAGAGTGAGGTGAATGAGTAGCTGGAATGTCTCAGCCTGTTTCTCAGCACTTCCCATTCAGGCTTGCTTGGCCTTGCCAGAGGATCTGCATTCCCAAATTGCACACGAACCGGAATGAATAATCTATTCAAGGATCTATGCCAACAGATTTTTAAATAGCTGTCCAGAGATGAGTATCGCTGTAAGAAACTTGGTGAAAAAAGCTTTGCTAGAGAGGCAAAATTATGAGTAATAAAAAAATAGTGCATAGAGAATGGAAGAAAAAAGGACTGTTCAGGCTGTCCAGGACAAATGGGACAGCAAAAATAGAAGGGGAATTCAGAGAACATGGGTCAAAATACTCTGACATCCGGACAGTCTCACATCTGGAAAGTCTCAGAGCAGACAGATTGTACTGACTGCAATTGTATAGCTGTAGGGAAAGAAGACCAAAAGGGTCAGTAGGTAGTTGTGTAAAGGTAAATCACCACATGTTGATGTGGACAGAAGTAAAATCAGTACATGGTCAATTCTTGACCCTGCTTAGTCTAGCTCATAGACTGAGTTTTCATGACTACAGAAGTCCAATGAAACGTTAAACAACCTCCCAGTCACCACCATGACATTGTTCCCCATGTTTTTTCTCATGCCTTCTTCCTTACCACATCTCTTAAGTGCAACCCTTCTTCTGTCTTAGCCGTCTTGATCTCTTGCTGGCCACAGCTGCCTTCTGAGGAAATATCCTTCACCTTGAGCTGCCCTTGCTCTGCCTTGTCTGCAGGGAGCGGACCCGTATGAACTTCTGAGGCTGGTGTTTGTTCCAAGGTGGGACTCTGCTCGGAGGACTGCTGGGGGCTGCTGGTGTTGCTTGTGCAGCTGCTTTGCTCACATAACATCTGATTTTCTGCTGCTGCCTGTGGAGTTTCTAAGGACTCAGGTTTCCTGGCTGCCACCAGCTCCTCAGGGTGAGAGCCTGGATCAGAAACACAAATGAATGATATAACTACTTGTGACTGAAAACATGTGCCCTGGGACAAAGCGGTGCTGTTTCAACTCAATGCCAACTAACAGAGCTAAAGAGCTCCCTCCGGGCACAACAGGATTTTACTGGGAGGCCACCCACCTCCCCAGTCTCATTACTGCAACAAGCACCAACCTGACCTGCTACCGTCAACACCCACCCCGCTACAGCTTGGTCTCTTTCCTGCCACAAGAGCAGGACGGAGCAACCTCCGTGCTACCGTGCTGCAGGCCACCTCCATAGTCCAACTGGGGCTCCACATCCCCCCTCCTTAACACACTTTTACCTCTAGATCCTGCCGCTGGCAGGGTGGGCTCCGGCTGTTTCTCCTTTCGCTCTGGCACCTGCTCTGTCTTTGAGTGGGTCCCCGCTTCCAGGGCAGAGGGGCTCGTGCTCTCAGCCACCAGGGAAGACAGCTCCTCTAGGCTGGAGAGGGAAAGCTTCTCCTTGGCGGGCACGCGGCACGGGGTGCTGTTGGTGCTGATGACTGCGGATACCCGCAGAGGGACAGAGACGGCGAAAGGCTCAGAGATGTTCAGGGCTTTCCTCTGGTGACGAGGGGAGGCCTCCAAGGGAAAAAGGCTGCTTGGGAAGCCCGACTTGGCGGCTGTTTCAGAGGTGTAGAACATGCGGCCGCCTTTGGGGGAAGTCTGCTCGTTTTCGGCATCCTCTGCTGCCCGGAAGACCTTCAGCTGCTCAGGGGGTGACTTTGCCTGCGGTGTCCGGGGAGGACACTTCTCCCCACTCAGCTCTGAGCTTCCTTTGGCCCCCGTGGCAGATCGTTCCCGCTCCCATTCGTTCTCCTTGCTGAGGTCATATGAGCTGCCTGTGCCTCCTGTCCGTATCTTCATCACGGGCACAAAAAAACCTCCAGTAGTCACTGTTCGTTTGAACCTGCTCTTTTCATCCTCCCCTAGAGATGGTAAGATAGAAGGAAGTCAGTGGGAAGCAAAGCACTAGCAAATAAAACCTTTCTCTGTGAGGAGCCCTCCTCAATCCCTCCAGGACTGAGTCCTGCCCTTGTGAACACCCACATTTCCCCAGAGAGATGGGCACAGCAGGCACTGGAGACCGTCTGGGCTCCAGTTCAGGGGCCTCCTTCAAACTGAGCAGGCAGGGCTAGATAGGATTTCCTCCAGTGGAAATCACCTATGACTTTTATTAGAGGCCCCTCTCAATCAAAAGCATCCAAGGCTAGGACTAGTGTGCATTGCCCACAAAGATCACAGCTCCAGGCTTTGTTGGATTACTGCAAGCACTTTTCACTTATGAATGGGAATTTTGTGCCCAGAGTAATCAAGAAAGAAATCGAAGCAGTCCCACTGCTAATAAAGATGCAGCTAGGCGCAGTGGTAACTCTCAGGTGCATGCACCAACATAAAAGGCAGAGAAAAGGGTTAAAAATGCATCCTCACAAAGGTGGGGGCACATCAGCAGCCATGGCACAAGGATACAAAGATACACAACACCCTGAGATAGGCAAAGAAACAGACCCCTTCAGCCATGCAGACACAGCCAAAAGCTGAGAATGCAGAGGTGCAATCCTTTACCCTTACAGTATAGCTTATCGGTGTCTCACCTTCCACTGGTAAGGAACACAGCGAGTCCATGCTCTTCGCGGGCCGAATAGTTGCTTTTTCTGTGGAAAATGAGTTTTAGAAGCAGGCGTCAGATCCTGTGGCTTTGAGGGCTTCAGCCCATAAAGACCAAAGGCTAAAATACAGACGGGCACCCCAAGCAGACATCAAAGTAATTTTCCATTTCCAAGCATTCCCCCTCTGTATCCACGTCATGAAGCGTATTATCCACAGCACTTGTCCACGCAGCTGGGGATCTGCTAGTGCTAACAACAGCTTTGCACCTGCTGGACATGTGGAGATTTATACTTAAGCCAGCCCGTCAATAATATCTCCACCGTGAAGCAGTTAAACATCCCCAAAGCTGTTATGTGCCGCTGTCCTCCCCGATCAAGTCAGGCTGTTGGCTGTGGAGACTTTTTAACTAAACTGGCATAAATGCCTTCTCACCTCTCATTCCTGATAGCAGATGTTAGGTTACTTCTACCCTGCACTCCCATGCTCTTTTGCTGGCATGAACGTACCCTGCCTCCAGCAAGCACTCCGGTAAATATAGGAGGGCAGAAAGCAACCTATTGTCCTGGTCATCCTCACTGGACTTGCTTGTCCAGAAACAAGCTGCCATTTGTCACCAGACACTCTACAGGTCTGCTCATGAGAGGTTTTGGAAGCGCGTAGCTGTTACTGCTCTAAAAAGGGGAGATGGGGGGAATGTAGCTGGCAAGGAAGACACGTTAGTCTCTGGCAGCCCGAAAAGGGTCTGTGGAGTTCTGGAAAATGTCTGGGAGCAAAGTTTGCTGTTTGCAATGTTGCACAAAGTAGGTTAAGGCAGAAAGTGAGCAGGCTTGTTGAACTTCATTTGTTTATATAATTCAGGCTTCTGGTGACTGACTTTCACGTGAGCGTAGGAGAAACTCCAGCTACTTTTTGCATTTATATGGAGTCCTGGATACCTTTTACGTTCATATGGCATGATGTCTTGAGCACTGGCTCTGCTTTTCTGAAGGAACAGAATTCAAGCTGTGGAACTTGCATTTTATGTGACTTGCAGACTCGGGTGTGTGGACACAAACTGTGTTAAAGCATGTGCTGAGTTTCAACAGCAAGTTCATCTGTTTCCTCACATTAGGCTGTAAGCAGAGAGCACACAAAAATACAACATGGCAGCACCGAAGCACTGCTTCTCAAAAGCTCTATTTCAGTACCTAAATCTCTGCGCAGGGATATGTATTTGTGTGTCCTGCTGGTGAAAAATGTGCAGCCTCCTGTCACTCAGTACTGTGCTTGGAACAAGGCTCGGCCCCCACGGTCACTGGGCTCCAGCCATTCCTCGGCATCCTTCAGTCAGCACTATTTTGGGACAGAGTATTCCTTATCAAAGTGAGAAGGTGATCCTGTGATTGAAATAGGATGGAGAGGTATTTTGGGGTCTGCCATGGGCACCCTGTGCAAGGCCATCTGTACCTGCAAAACATGGGGGAAGGCAGGGGTCCAAAAAGAACCGGATCCAGCATTTGGCTTCACACTCCTGATCCAAATACAGCCTCTCTTATAGGTCGTGGTAGGTAATGTTGCCAACATTAACTATTTTATTTTGAGTCTTGCAATGTTTGGTAGTGCTTCTCCAAACAGTAGCTCCTGGAGTCATGAGATTATCTAAACAAAATTCCACCTTCCTCTTCTTTTTAAAAAGTAAATTTATTGACTTGGAGATACTAAAAAAAATCTAGATCATATAAATGCGAAACACTTCTTTACGAACCCAGGTAAAAAAGGGTATGCTTTCATATAAAAATTGTGATTACATTGAAGTTAACTTCATGATTTTTAGAACTTGAGTCATCATTTCTGAACACTGGAAATTTGCACTGCCATGTGATTTTCTAGGAAGCAGAATGTTTAAGAGATTGCGGCTCAGGAGGGGTTAGAATTTGGGACTGCAGCCAAGAGAAAAGACAACTTCCCTCTTGTAAATTCTGCAAAAGTAATAGCTTCCCTCGAAGTGCTGAGATCCAGGAGCCATAGGAATGGTGCCTTGCTTTTCACAAAGACACTGAACACAGTTGGTTCTTTAATGCCCTTTAGTGGAAGGAGAACCTGCAAAGACAGTCATTCACCCAGTGCCATGTAAGGAACATTAGGAGCCAGAGACTGGCCGGGCTGGAAGAGTGGACTAATCCAAACCCACATAGCTTTTCGTAGTCCCCAAGTTTGGCAGCTGGACAATGGGAGCCTGTTTGTCACATACCAAAATGGAATATTTACTGTAGCTCTCTGGCATATCCTCTTGAAAGGGTGCTTCTTGCCATCATGTGAAAATTAAACGTGCATGAAACCAGGCAAGAAACACGACCCCATTAGACTATGTCAAGTCTAATGCTCTAAGTGTCATGTGGATACAGGTTGCCCCACGCTATCAATATTGCAGGAGAAATCTGCAGAGAGAAATACTTAACTGAAAAGTGTGTTCTTACCAGAGAGTTTCTGTGCCCTTACGAAGACACTCCCATTTCGACTCAGTTTAGACTTTGATTCTGAGCCAGAACGGCCCAAGTTAAATATCGACTTCCATTTCTTGGACTTGGTAGATAATTTTCTCCTGGAAGGAAAAAGGGCTCAGGAGGTTACCAAACCCCAGAGACTTTTGTCTTTTTAATATCACACAAAAGCATCTGAGCTCTCTCCCCTCAACACTGTTCCTCTTTTCTTCTCACACCTCTTTTAATTCTAAGGCATGCAAGGCAGAGCTGCACACCCAACTCTTGCTTTTCTGTAAGTGATTTATCTGTTTGGCTGATTTAAGCATGTCATAGATGGAAAGACACCTAAGCCAACCCTTCAGAGAGTTGGCTCTGTCATCATGCTACAGAAACTGTGACTGAGCAATCAACCATGCTTGTCTCCAGAAAGGAGAGGTTTCTGAGGCTAGAATTATCTTGCAATACAGTAAAGAAAAATTCCCTTTTTAACAGGTTTTAATGACAGAATGTGGGATAAATTCCAGAGAACTGATGGAACTGGTACTATTGGTCAGTGCACAAAGCTATCCTTTAAGGTCCACATCTTATAATTTTTATGAATTTGTGAAAATAAAAGGACTCCTTAATACAAACTAGCTATTAATGTTTCTCAGGCCAACATTAATTTAGTCATAGGTATTACATAATCATATGCAAGTATAATGTACTAACTAAAAAGGAGGAAGCTTAAGGGAATGAAATCAATTTCTCGTAACTGTCAGAGGAAGTGGGACACCAGTTCCCTGTGTCTCTTTGTAAATCCCAGCTTTTAACAGAATAAAGCTATTACTTCTGAAGCCAGTTTTCTTCTATGCATATTACTGCATGAAGCTCTGTTTCAGTTCCTTCACATACGCATTCTGACTCCTCCTTCAGTATCCCCTCTTCCAGGGCAAGAAGCACCCTTTTATCTCCCTGTCTTGCTCTCCATAATGGGCTTTTGATCCCCATAGATCTGCTTTTCTTTCAGATCAGTACTCAGAAGAGCACAAATCAGTCCTACAAAGAGGATTAATACCTTGGGGATAGGACTGTTCCCTTCAAGTGAAAAAGGAAAAGGCACTCTAGAGGAGCAATACACCCTTTTGTCTTATGCTGGTTATCCTCTTGCCAGTATTCTGCTAGATGGCTCCTTTTTGCTTTAATATATCAAGTGCAAATAAATATATTTTCTCTGCTGCTTTATGGGTCAGTAGATTAATGAGCCTCCTGCTGCAGAGGCTACAGTCTCTCAGAACCAGGCAGTAGAGTGAACATATATTAACAGATAGATAGACCAAGAGATGAATACTCATGCTGTGCAGCAGTGCCAACAACTGCAGCAACCTCAGCTGCAATCAGACTCTTCGCCTGGCATAGGCATAGGTGGCACAGACGCCACTATGTAAATATCTCTCCACGCTAGCAGTGAAAATTCACCTTACTGCTCGTCTGAGGAACCTGGAGAACGATGAAACTAAGCTGATTGATGCCACCAGGCGCGCCTGGACCAGCTGCCAGCAGGTGGAACTTGTAGGAAAGCTGTGTCCAGACCTGCTCCATGTTCAGCCCCAGTTTAGACAATTCCTGAGCTGGCACAAGGATGCAAAGACAATGAATGGCTCCTGCAGGAGGTCTGCGAGGTTCTGCCCTGATGGAGGGAGAAGGACTATTGGAGCTATGAACCCAACAACTGCAATGCTTCTCAGGAGCAGCTGTGCCTCTTTTGAGAAGGGCACACAATTTTCTCTCAACGGTGTCTGTAGATTTGTGCGTGCAGGTGTGGGGGTATCATGCTAACAAAAGTCTCATTCCCGATCATGCTGGGGAACCTGCACTTTTTTGTTTGCAATTTACACTCCTCTTGGCACTTACTTGCTGTCGGGGAGGTCAACAACCGTGTGGAAGAGGGACCCAGTTACAGGGACAATTTCAGGCAAGCTGTTCTCTCTTCTCTCCTTCCGAGCAGGGTGGGAGGCAGACAGACTCCGTGCCTGCGCTTCTTCCAGGCTCACCAGTTTCATCGGCAGGGAGGCCGAGGGGAGGGTCAGACTTTTCACAACCGATGCACTCTCTGAAAAGCAAGAAAATACATTCCAGCCTGGGGTAAGAGGAGAGCTCTATGTCTTTTTTTGACTGGAACATCTCCTGCAGAGGGGGGAAAGGAGCAGCACGTGCAGGAAGAGAGGCTTTTTGTCAGATAAGTTTTCCATCTCCCCAGCAACCTTATCCATCTGAGTGCATTCTCAGCAGGGGCCACGCTCGCCAGCCAAAGGCTGCGTTGCACAGACTTGCTGCCTCTGCTGTAGATGCTTCGGTGTGAAAGAGGCGTCTCTGAAAACCACCAGGATTCACACGTTCTCCTTTCTTTTCCCTGCTTCCCTCCCTCCCCAGATTTTGGAGCAGTTCAGTACCTGATCCAAACCTAGTGCCTGATTCTTTCTCTCACTTCCACATGTTTCTTTTTGTCTTGTTCCAGGAAGGGAGATTGTTCTAAAAAACAGCATTACCTCACCTTCCCAATGCATTTCAGGGCTACAGAAAGCAGTGTGACCAATAGCCCTGGGAACTGAAGGTCTCTGTTTACATGGGCAATGGCAAATCCAACTTCCCATATGGCACCCCAGTAACAGCCCTGACCTAAACAGACCACCTCAAGGGGCATGAATTCCAGTCAGCACTTAGCCCTACTGCTGAAGCAGGGTGCAAGCTACTGCTTGTACAGAGGGGCTGGGTGAAGGGGCACTTTCCCACTAAGAAATCAGCTGAGACCATCAGCACGTTCCTCTCTTGACTCCACACAGCTGTTAAAGACTAGCGGTGTCCATCTGTCCTGATTTCAGCTGGGACGGGGTTAATTTTCTTCCGAGTAGCTGGTACAGTGTTGTGGTTTGGATTCAGTGTGAGAATAATGTTGATAACACACTGATGTTTTAGTTGTTGCTAAGTAGCGCTTATCCTAAGTTAAGGATTTTTCAGTTTTCCATGCTCTGCCAGCAAGCGGGTGCAGAAGAAGAGGGGAGGGAGCACGGCCAGCACCATGTCATGCTCTGTATAAACTGGGAGGTGTTGGCTGGGGGGGATCGCTCAGGCATCAGTCAGCAGGTGGTGAGCAATTGCATTGTGTACCACTTGTTTTTTTCTTGGGTTTTATTTCTCCCTCTAATTTTTATTATATTCCTTTTCATTATTATTATTTATATTATTATTATTTATTATTATTATTTATTAATATTATTGTAGTAGTAGTAGTTGTTGTTATTAAATTTTATTTTATTTATTTAGTTATTAAACTGTTCTTATCTCAATCCACAAGTTTTACTTTTTTTTTTTTTTTGATTCTCCTCCCCATCCCACTGGGAACGGGGAGGAGTGAGCAAGTGGCTGCATGGTGCTTAGCTGCTGGCTGGGATTAAACCACGACATCAGCATTTACCAAACTCAGGACAGCTTTGGGCCAGTGACCTGCACTATAACCAGAAGCCTTGGAATTTACCAGCCAGTGTTTCTCTACAATGCTTAAGGCAGTATGGGAGCTGTTCCTCACTCCATGACTCCTGCCGGGGCACAAATAAGGACATAGGAATGGCACCCCCCGTGCCCAGAGCAGGGGTGTTACCAGCTGAGCAGAGCACTGCACTGGAAACGCGGGCTCCAGGGACAGACTAGCAGAGAATGCCATGTGTTAAGGGAAAGGTGAATGGGACAAGCTGACACAGGGGCTGGAAAGCAGAAAGGTGGTTACTCCCTCACTTCTGAAGGTGTTATGAGTCTTCTCAGTGTGTAAAACATAAAGATGCGTATTTCTGAAATTATGAATTTTGAACAACAAATCTTCCAATAAATAACAGAATCAGCATCTCTGAAAGCTGTTAATGTCCCAGGAAAAAAAAAAAAAAAAAGTCTATTTTATAAAATGTCCCCAGGTACAAAATATAAGTTTTTAGAACACCAGCTTAAGTTTTATCCCGGCCTCTGACTTGGGTGGATACGGTAGCAGCAGGGCAGGTATCATTGGTATGAGAAATTACAACTGGGGGATCTTGAGAGAAGAATTGAAACTGTGGCTGATGGTCTTAGAGAGAAATATTAGACAAGGATTGAGAATTAACCAGGTGGTCTTCTTTTTGTGGAAAGGATTAAGCCAGGTGAGATCATGAAAAAGATGAGCCGTTTGGGAGCACACTGAGAGAGGCTAATATTAAAAAAATGTTGGAGATAGGGATGAAGAGGACAAGAGTAATGAGGGATTGATTTCAAGGTGTCTTTGGGGGAGTCTGTGAGGATGGTAAGGGTTGATGTTGAAGGGAAAACAGAGCTGGAGTACATGGCAAGTGACACGCGGAGTGGTTCAGGGAGGTTGTTACCAATGTTCTCTGCAGAACTGGCTTTTCTGTTGTTGTTGAAGATCTGATCCACGTGATTCAGGATGAACTCGATCACCAGCTGCTGCACTCGCACCTCCAGGAAAGCTGCATCCCCATTGCAACCAACTGCCTCAATCTCCTTTGACCTGCATGAGGAAAGATACTACTAGCAAGCATTGCCACACACAGCCCCTGGGTAGGAAAGACCCACTTTCTCCCGGAAGACATGGGACAGGGATGTTTTCCCCACTCTTGCTCTCCTTCCCTCACAGGAACTCATCCTCCCTCTGTCTTTTCACTCTTTTTAAAGTTATTTCCCCTGTTTTCTCTGTCACCTCCATTATTTTCTTTCCTGCCTGTGTTATTTTCCTTACTTCGCTTTTACATTCTTCAGCAGTGGATAAAACTGTGACTCTCAAACTCCATTCTCCCTCTTTGCTCCTCTTTTAGCTATTTCAAAGTTGGGCCTGAAAGACAACATAGAAGCCTTCAAACACTGCTTCCAGATCCCTACTCAATGTTTCAATCATCTTTCAGAGAAATCCCGTAGAACTCTACTCAGGTGTTCCTTGTGACAATTTTTTCTGTGCTTTGCCATGTGCCCTAGTAGTCTCTTCTTTGCCCCCCTGTACTTCCACATTCTTACTCTTGCTTTCAGCAGAGAAACATTCCTTATCTTGACATGCCAAAGTGTTGCTGAAGACATTATCTCTGGGCAAAGGATCCTTTGTAAAGTTAATGACTGGTGTGTTAGATAATAGCTTGGGGAATTGCCAAGAGGATAACCCTGTAAGAAGATTGCAGTTGCATGCATGCTCCTTTCTTTTCCTCCCTGGAACTTGCACTTAGGAAAGATTGCAAAAGGAAACAGACTTCATTTTTTTTTTGACAAGGACAGATGCTAGAATGAAAATGTCTCAGTAGTAAGGGTCCACTTTGTGATATTCAATAGAGTCAAGCCTGGATTCATTTTCAGAACCTGCTCTTCCGTTTTTGTGATTTAAAAGGGTAAGATAACTTTTTAGAGAATGCTTTTTGGGCCTCTACCTCTCTAGCCAATGTCCCTCCCTCCTGTCCTCTGCCAGCCCAGGGCTCCCCCCACCAGCTCTGCCATCATCCCTCTCCTGGCCAGCTGCTGTCCTGGACTTTCCCTGCGTAGTTCATTTCCCTCTATACATGGGTATGAGATGGACGGGGAAGGAAATTTCAACAAGATACAAAATATTTCAATTTATTTTTTTCCAGATACTATATTTTTCTGTTCTGCTTAGCTCTACAACGTATCTGCCAAACCTCTGACTGCTTCTTATCTGGGCCTCTTCCCATCAGAGTGCCAGGTATACCAAGCATGACAAATTAGCTGGTGGTCTTGAGATCTGACACTAGGTGCCATCTTAAGCCCACCAAGCTCATCTCCATTCTGCTCAAGCAGATCTGGGCACAAGCCTGTCATATTATTTCCTTGTTGCTCTCCCTTCCAAGCCTTGCTGCCTCTCACCACCCCACTGCAGAAGCACTGGCACTGGCAGAAATGTCATTTCCGTTCCACAGTGATGAGCTAACTCCTCATTTTTAAATCGATACACCCAAATTGCAAATAACACATTTTATACATACATTATATATATATATGTATATATAAGAAGCACATAAAACCACAAGCTTCCTTGGATGTTGGTAGTAAAACCTCAGATTACTCAACCTGGAAGCATTTTTTTTTTTCTTTTAAAAACTGTTTGCTCTGCTCTAATGTTCCCTTTAGTTGTTTTGTTTTTCCCTGTCTTTGCATTTCCCTCAGGGGATGGATCTCCAGGCTCAGGTGCTGGTGCTCCCCTTGGATCTTGGCATGGTGCTCTGGATGAGAGGACTCTCTATTGTACCTGAGGAGATTGGGAGCCCACACCAAGGCCAGGTTTCTGGTGTGCATGTTGGTCATGTTGCTGAAGGAGGCCAGGTGAGTCAGGTGCTTGATCAGGTATTCCAGCGTTCTGCAGTGGTTTCACATGAAGAAAGAAAAATGTGTCAAATGACTGATGCCTGCGCACCAGAACAGCAAGGCTCAGACCCAGAACTGGGCTCAGAGTTGTCCCCGCCTCAGGGAAAGCAACATCTGGAATGGCACAACAGGCCCCATAGGACAGAGGTTTTACTGCACCAGCGTTTACATGGGATGGCAGCAAACACCTGAGCAACTGCCCACTGGGGTGGCCAAGGATGGGACACGAACCAAATAATCCTTAGTGTGATGGGTGCAAAGAAGACGGCAGACAGATAGTGGGATGCTGTAAAGGCTGAGGGCTTAGCTCTTGCTCAGGCACCTCCAGCAGATCACCTTCTCACCACACCCAGGACACTGGCCAAGGGTGCTACAGGGGTCATACCCAGGGAAGGAGGATGATAGACTTGTGGCAGGGAGAGTTTGTTTGATCTCTAACAACAGTTTGTTCAATGATATTTAAATGCCCGATAAACTGCTGTCATATTTGGAAATGGTGAGTCAGCTTTTGGGAACTGACTTCTGGAAATTAACTCCAGCGCTGTTTCAGGCAATAGCCCTTGATGGTGAGGGTCTCCACAGTGTTCCTCAGCACCTTGGCAGACGTGTTCTCACCTGTAATGCGATGGTGGGAGCTCCTGGATGACATTTTGAATTCGTGCCAACTGCTCGTCCTCAGGGAAGCGTGATACTGCTTCCTGTGGAGATACAAGAAAACAGTCCGTCCTGGCAATGGACTCAGGGGAAAAGGAAGAAGGATAAGGTGGGTCACACGAGCCTGTCTCAGAGGGAATATTCTCTTGTTATCTTACAGAGCTATTGGTAGAAGTTGCTTCGTGTCCCCTGGCACAGCAGAGATTTGCTATGCTGTCATTTCATGTCTTGGTACATGCTTCCCACATGTTGGGACATGGTGGTCAATGTTTTGGTGAGAGAGGCATTTAAGGACTGAGACCTTCAATTAGGAGATATGTTTCTTTTTCTTTTTGTTGTTCTTTTTCCCTTTTTTTAACATTTGGCAGTTATAGGTGGAACAGAAAGAGAGGGAAAGATAGGATTAAAAATAATGGAAAAAATGAAAAACAGTGACACTTGCTCCTTGAAATTGTATTTAAAATAAAGCACGTCTTTCAAGCCATGTGTAATGAAAACAACTTGGATATACAGGTTCCATATTCTTCAAAATAAGCAATATTTGGGCTGTCATATTAAGATATCTCTAAGGATCGTTTGTATGAGTTTACACCTTTTATGATGGGAGAAGCCTTAGCAAAATCACTGTCCAGGTAGATTAATAAATTCATATACATCTTGGTCTTGAGCAAGTCTCTACAGACCAAGAGCTTAGAGACCTATGATAAGATTTTGTCTGCATTCCTGGGAGTTTACTGCATTGGTATTCATCTGTTCAGCCAGTCCCTTTCAATATTTGTGCTGGGGGAGGACAAACCACCAGCAAGTTCAAACAATGCATGACTGTCTGGGAACCTCCTGACTACCCTACTGCCACTGGAATTTGGAACAAGTTCAAAGAAAGATGCTGGGACCCATGCTGCCAGCAGAAGCTTTGCCTACAGACAGACGTCAGCACTGCTAGGAAAGGAAAGGAGGGAAATAACCCTTCCCAAAGCACCCGTCGCTTAAACATTATGAACCTGAAATTACCAGCCACAACGAGAGAAGCATCTTCTTGTAGCAGTCACTACAACATCCACACTGATGCTGCTGCTATCTCTGTTCTGGTCACTGTCCTCTTCCCAGCAGACCACTTCCCATGTACAACCACCAGCAAACCAAACGTTGCCATTTTCAAGGGCAGAGACAAATATGAATCATGTTTTATTCCCTAACACTGGGAATTGAGATCTATGCCCTCTAGTTTGAACTTCTCACTGGTGTGATGGCAAAAAAAACCAAGAGAGCTCACTAGTTTGGTGTACATAAGATGTGGATGCACTTGTTTTGCCCAAATTAAAGGTATGTTAACTCCTTCTAGTACTTTTTACCCATAACTACAGATTAAAAAAAAAAAAAAAAATAATAGGCTTTTTATTTGAAAAAAGAAACAAGTCTATTACCATCAGTCCAGAAATCCTAAGTATAAGAACTCCTGTGATCTTCAAACAAGGTTTCCAGTTGAATGGCCTTGTCCAAAGATGGAGAAGGAGAGAAATATAAACTTTAACTGGTTCATCTAAAATATTAGATTTCAACTAGACTGCACACAGTATTTTCTCCCCCAGAGCTGATTTTCATCCCATATTTAACTACCAGGTCTCAAAGACCTAATGCTTAGACAGCAAGTGAATACCAGCCCCTCTGAGGTCATGACCCATCCAAACCCTCGAGCCATATTTCTGACCCATATGTGTTGTGCCTTTGAAATCTGAGGCCTTCTCCAAAACTCAGGATTTCAGCAACAGAATACGGAATTCAAGAAAGAATCAACAGCACAATGTATTACATGTCTGTTAATTCATGAATTAATATCATTTAAATTTTCATCTTGCAAATGGGAAGAGAACACTTGGAGGATAGCAGAAGTGAAACACAATTAAAAATCTTGGATTTTTTTTTTACTCCACTGATGATTCTTGGAGTGAGCAATTCACAAGCCGTGGTTAACAAGGGGAATAGAGTCCCGAGAGAGAAGGTAGGTTTGGCCTCCTACGGCTGCTTTGCTCTGAGGGATTACTCGGTCCCTCTAAACCCAGATATGACCAACCAAGCAGATTCAAGTTATCTATCCCATGAAAGAAGCATCCCTCACCAAAATGGCAAACTGGACAGTGTGAGAGGGCATAATTTTGCAACAGTTGATAGCCAGTGAGGCCGTAACTGGGGTGTTACACCCGTGAACTTGACATAGCAATGACCAAAAGGCCTTCCTAGTCATTAAGAAATTTACTTTCCTTAGCCACAAATGTCTGAATCACTCGGGTGACTCAAAGTGGGGCCTATCCCATCTGAGAGACAGCTCCGGCTGAGTCAGGCTGGGATTAGCATGCATCCTTTACTCCTACCAGCGCTCTTCTGCCGAGGCACAGCTGCCACCGTTCCCTGTTCGGCCGCCCCACACATACACACGCTCCTAGCAGTTTTTGTGCTCCTTGGGGAACTGGTCTTTTTCTTTCTTTCCTCCTGGTATCTGACTGTGCTTCCTGTCAGCTGGGTTACCCATTATAAATCCCCACTGAGTAGACTTACGTGAATAATGGATTTTGTGGCTGAGCAGACAAACTAAAAAGCCGGAGATTAAAAAAAATCCCTTTTAGGTCAATCCAAAGTGATAACATTTTGGGGAGTTGGCACAAGATTTTAAAAAACAATTGTTCAGGGTTGACGAAAGCATCACACTCAACCATAAGTGAAAGAAATTATCATTTAAATTTGGGGCTGTTTAACCCTTTTCTGAAAGATGTTTTATTTAAAAGTTAGATGTGTTGATTTAATGTTGAAACATTTCCTTTAGAAAGTATTTGTAAAAGAAACATTTAGACAGTTACAAAAATGTTTTCCCTTTTGTTTTTGAATAACACTATTTACCAAATGTATCTACCAAAAATCTGCAAGTCATCATCCCAAAACTACCCTTTTCAGCAAACATTCTTTCCTAAAAAAAGTTTCCATCTAAATCTTCATGTTTCCTTTAGAGCACTTTTCTTTCATAAATCAGTAGTGATAGACAGAAAGACACCAGCCAAATAGCTTCAACAAGAATGAGATTCATCAGTTACTGTGAATGGTTGAATAATACCCTGTATTCTCAAGATCCTATTCATCCTGACTCTCTGCAGTATAGAGATCCTATCCTATATCCTCAGGATACAGGTCAATTTTTCCAATCTGCTCAGAATTTTGACTGAAGTTTTGACCATACATCACCTTGAAACACACACTAATCTTACTTAAAATTTGGCATCGAAACAGCAAGACACCTAACACTATCGCATATCTGTCAAGCAGCACAGCGAGCCAATTCCCACCCCGTGTTCCCTAGCTCCGTCGTCGTCCCTAACAGCTCCCTGACTTTTTATAGCAGGCTGCTGCTTGGCTGGTCCCATCTGGCTCTGCCTCACAGCAAGCCCCCTTGCACAGATGTGCTTGCCTCTTCCCATAGCAAGCAACAGGGAGTCTTTGGAGAATGTCTTCTTCTTGTGTGGACCCTGTGGATGTCTCTCAGTGCCTCCTGTGCCACAGCAGTGCTCCTTGGAAGCGCTTGCTTCAGGATAGAGGCAATGCAGACAGCAACACCTGAAGCTAGCGTTGCTTGCCACTTCGCGTTTCATTAGGACATGATTTTGCAAAACTTCTTCCCTGCAACAGCTGACATTTTTGGTGATGTCTGTCCCCTGCACCTCCCACCGAATGGGAAAGAGTAGGATGACAGAAAATCTTAAGAAAGGACAGATGTTTCTAACACTGAGAAAACAATCTTTCCCGTCTCTCCACTCCAGTTGTTTTAAGAAGTTGGTGAATTCTTTTAGCTGAAACTTCACACCTCTGGCACTTAAGATTTCAGCCTCAATGACTGGATTTAAATTTGTTGGTGACATAAACAACTGAAAGCAGTCTTAGATTGGTAAGAAGCAGGCAGCCTTAGCAACAAGCATAGCTTACTGTGCCACCTTTTAATAAAATATTATCTGTCATCAAAATTAGCCAACTCTCTTAAAAATTCAGGCTTTGTGGTCTTATTTTTCTGCTTCCCCGCAGTCTGCTCCTAGGCTCCAACTGTATCCATGTATAATCTATGGTTGTTTTGCAGAATCCAGTAACCACTCTTTGAATTATAATCTCTTTAAATAAGGTTAGAGATTTCTGCTTGGCCAGCTGCCACTTTCCTCTGTCATTTGTATTTATGACATGATCATGATAGGCCTGTTATGCCATAGCTGGCAAAACCTGTGTCATCATTTGCACTCTGACAAACTGTGTGAAAAATTATACAGGTGCAATTGCTGCTTTGCACATGGGCTGAGCAATCAGTCTGTGCAGATATCAGGGACTGTGGCAGGGACAGGGAGGAGGAAACCACACCCTTGAGATTATGATCACAAGCCCCAGGCGATCCAGAAGACTCTCAGTGATGGAGTGTAATGCGGAAAAGAAAGAGAAATAGTAATTCTGGGAGGAGGTGCACGGTGGGGGGAAAACGTAACAGCAGGGAAGCAATGCAGTGAAAAAATTAGCAAGATGAAGGGGATGAAAAATCAGGGAAACCTAGAGAAATAAACAATGATGAGGAGGGAAGAGCACTAAGAAATGCATATATAGATAGATGCACCAGAATCCAGGACACTAGAGTGAATCCCAAACAGCTGTCATAGAGGAACCTGCAGCACATCCACGCTGCTGGAGAGGAATGAGAACAGCAGAGGGTCTCACCGTGAATTTCTTGTAGAGCTCATAAGTGAGGAGAGGGTTGGGCAGCTCCCTGAAGTACAGCTTGCAGAGAGACCCCACGCAGTGGATGTCCTGGAGGTAAACTTCCCTTGTCAGATCCGGGCATTGGTCAGAAACAAACTCTTGTCTGAAACAATATGGAAACATAACAATGTAGGAGAGTAAGAGCCGTAGCATCCTAGTACTCCACCCTAAGTACTCTTTTACAGCTAGAAGACAAAACAAACTGAAAAACAGAGATGTGTCTGCAGCCTGGCCCAGATTGTCTCCCCGGATCAGGCCCCAAAGTTTCAACTAGTCTCTGGTTTCCCTAACATAGTCCTATGAGTGGGCCTCAAACTGATATAAAGAAATTGCTTTGTCTCGAAGTGAGAGAGAACAGCTCAGCATTTGTGCTGAGACCCTCCATGTCCTTCCCATTAATAGATGCAGAGGGAGATATTTTTTTTATTTTGTCATGGACTAATCCCTGAAATGCTGTATTACCCTGTTACCAGCTTCAGAGACAGTTTATGTTCTGCATCAGAGTGGAGCTCTGTTGGCCCCAGTCTATGCCTGAGGGACTAACAGCAAAAAAGTACTGAGCAATATGACTGAATTCCCCTGGCACTCGGACAGATTGCCCTTACCTCAGCTTTTGTATGTTGGATGTCACTCCTGAGAGGCGGTAGATCCCATCCACAATGCCATGAGTCTCAATGAACTCCGCACAGCTCTTCAACACGTAGGGAACTAGGAGAGGAAAGCAAGGCAAGATGTCCAATGAATACACACCAAGAACTTCCACAAGTCACCAGAGGAGACAGTTTCATGAAACAACATCAGACGCTCTCTGCAGTTGAAGGGAAGGATACAGCAATGGGAGAAATACAGAGCAAGCCAAAAATAAACCCCACAAAGTGCCCATAGACAATTTTCAAAGTGAGGCTATGCTACGGTTGTGCCATGCCACACTCATTGACGTATGACAGTGACTGATCCTGAAGTCACAGAAGCATTGTGGGAAGAAAGGTAGGGTTTCTGTCTCTCCATTTTTTTATTTTTTTTTTCTTCTTTCCAGAAAAAGAAGCATTTATTTCTAATTGAAAGCATGAGGTAAAGCATGAGGTCCTGGAAACCTCCCCCCTCCCCAAGATAGAGCTCCATCCTTGCTGAATTGTGCCAAAAGGTCTGATTGGCTTGGATAAAAATCAGAGAAGCATTCGCACTTCCATATAAGCCTACATACCCACAGTTTAGTGCTCATAAACTCCCACAGAGAGGGTATAAAGTTCAAATATTGACTAGATCTGCACACTGACAAAATCTGACATTGGCTTCAAAAGAACTCCAGCCACACAACCAGCCAAAGACTTAACCAGACTTAAAGCTGAGAGGAGCCTGAGGCACAGCATTTACATCCAGACCTGGACCTAAAGCATATGTTTATTTTTTCCCCATTATATAGGTATAGGAAACTCTCATCCTCTTGGTCAGACCAAGCCTCCTTGTCCCCAGTACTATAACAACCCTAGCTATAACAATAACAGTAAGAGAGCCCTTCCTTATTAGGTGCTAGAAACTACTGTGTATTCAATGCAATGCTTCACATAGCTATAAGCACAAAAGTCAGTAAATGTAGAAGTTAAAGTTCCCCGCTGTCACGCTGACTCTGCTGCACTGCGCATTCAGAAAGCAGTAGGGCAGAAGACAGACTAAGCCATCCATTTGACTGGAAAACCAGGCATAGCAATTACTGTATCTTTGCAACACCACAGAGATAATGCCTCTGGCTGGACCTTCCCTGAGTTCTTCTGCTCAGAGTTCAGGACCATGACGACATACTAACATGTGCTTTATCAGGCGGCGTCCAAAGACAGCACTCCAAGGACAGCCTGAACAAAAAGCAGCTGGTACATTATTGTATTTCTCACGGGTGCTACCGAGGCTGGAGCCAGCTCATGGGTGGACTTGTGCCTCCCAAGCAGCCCGGGGCAGAGGGTCTGGTGAGGGGGGCTCCCAAGCTGGTGTCTACCCCAGTGACACACTGTTGCTGAGCCCAGTCAGTCAGGAAAGTGCTATCCTTCTGCCTCCCAACTCTTACCGAAGGAGGTAAAGACGTCCTTCTTCTGTGCTCCTTCTCTTCTGGCCAACCCAAATGCAAGAATACACAAAGTGCCAGTGATTACTTGGAAGCCTCAATGATCCAAACGGACTAATTCTCCTCAGTTGAAGGAGCCTCTCCAAAACAACAGCGAAAATTTGACTTCATGGTTTTTTGAGCAGGGACGCATAATGCAGGTACATTAGTCATGCTGTGTCACAGTCTAAGCCCTTGGGCTAATTTTTAAGAGCCTCAAGTTGTTGGGCTAAGACTAACAGTGGAGTTTCTGGCAGGGGCCCTAACCTACTACAGTGTTTATGGGAAATCATGAAACCAAGAGAACAGTTGTAGGCTACAGAGCTATAGGATTCTCTCCTCATGCATATTTGAGGAGAAGGCACATCAGTGCCTTCCAGAAGGAACATGGAAACCATTCCTTCCAGTGCCTACAGCACCTACTTCCTAAGAGGACTAGATGATGCGGGAGGAGACAGAGCAAAAGAAAAGTACAAAATTTCCTTAAAATACTGCCAAGAAAAGCCCAAGTGATATACGAAGAAAGAGGACCTTCCTGTCTCTAAGACCTGATTATCTGTAACTGCAGTAGGGAACTCAGATCATATGATGATGAGCATGCTAGAAATAAAAAAAAAAAAAAGGGGGGAAAGACAAATGACTTCAGGCCTCTTCATTTCTAGCTGGTCAGGCTGTATCATCTTTACGGCGGGAGCTATTGCATACGTGGCATATTAAGATTTTCTTCTTGGTAGGGGTTTCTGGGAATAAATCTAATGTAAACAGCAAAAATGAAAGCTAGGCATATCCATGTTCACTTCAGATCTATTTGGGTGGGAGAATGGATGAACCACTTCCTGTTACCTGGAAAAAGAAGAATTGAACAGAAAACCTATTTCATCAGGACAGCCATATGACCAGGTCTGTTTAAAAATTAAATAGTCTTTCATATAGACAAACTTCATGATGGTGCCTAGATGCCACAAAAAATGGGGTCCATGCCTACAGCCCCCTTTATTAGATAATTTTTAAAACTTTGGTGTTAAGAATAAGCACACCAACTAAAAATGCATATACTAACATTTGTTGTGACTAATTTGACCTCTTGAAAGTGAGATCTAATAAATCACACTATTTTTTTGCTGAGTTTTAAGTTTACTTGGGATAAATTAGGTCAAGATGCCTCAGGCGGGTAAGCAAACCTCTTATACACAAACCAGAGAAGGCTAGATCCATCTGTTGAAGACTGGTAAGAAAAAAAGGGGCCTGAGGGGAATAATCTGTAGCAAATGTATAAAATTCAACTCATTTTTAAAAGTAGGTGAAGACTCCACAGCAGAGACAACCTATAGACTGCAGACTGACAATATGCATGGGAGCTCTGCCAGTACCGCTTACTCCAGCCCTGAAGTCTTCCCTGCTTTTTCAGCCCTGGGCTTCCCGCATACCTCTGCCAGTGCCCTTGTACATCATGTACATGATTTTCTGCCACACCAGATCTTCGGCTCTTATGAAGAGAAACAGCCAGTTATGTCAAAATGAGTGGCAGTTTTGTGACGTCAAAAAAAAAAAAAAAAAAATCCCACATAGGATACATTTCACTTGCAACCAAAAATTACAGACTTTGACCTCAGATCCCTAGAGGTGAAGGGACTGCATTGGCTTCCTGCAAAGCAAGCCCCTAAATGCAGCACTTGTATGAAACTGGAGCACAATAAATGTTTTCTTTGAGCAGAAGCTGAAGCTCTGAAATTCCTGAGCGGCTCTGATCTCCTACAGAGCTGAGTCTTTCGGTCACTTGGGGGAGGTAAGGTTAGAGTGGCAGTGAGCAGCTCCCTCCCACTTCCAGGAGTTTCTGACGTGGTTTGGTTATTTCAGACATGGCTCCTGATGAACCAAAACAAAAGCTTCGATCGTCCCTGAGTGCGGGGAGGTAGATTCTAGCATATGCTTTACAACAGGACTCTATGTTGGCTGGGTCTCTCCCGAAGGAAGATTGGATGGGGATGGGGATTTGTCACAGGGGCTGTGCATGTGTGTGCAGGCATGGAAAGGGGTGGGGTGGCGGGGTGTCCAATCTTGACACTTCTATAATTAAAACTGTGCTGGAGGCTTAGAAGTTGGAAGAGGCAGCTGGTGTCACACAGACCCCGCTTGTTCTGCCAGACAGCCAAACTGTCCTCATTTAAAACTACAATAGAAACCAGATGGAGGAGGAGAAGAGAGCATGGAGCAAGGCAACAGTCAGAAGGGAAATTGAGTTATAAACATACTGCACACAAAAGACAATACTTCTTCCCCTAGACAAAAATAAACCAAAAGGGCAGTCGCAGTAACTTGTTCCACTCTCACTGGATATTACCTCTGAGCTCAGTGTATGCGGATATTCACCTTCACCAGGGTCTTTTCCATGACCACAGCTCGTACCACCTCCTTTACACACATGTGCTACTCCTGCTAGGTCAGGTATCACACCTCTCTCCCCTTCCGATCCCTCCAGCTTCCAGTGCCTCCCACCTCCCAGCACTGCTGGGATGGGATGGGCCCTCCCTCCTCCTGTCCCTTCCCAGCCATGGTGCTACCAGTCACCAAACCTCCCCACCGGTGAGCAAGGTGCTCACTCTTTGCCTGTCTGACAGAGGCTTCTTCTGGCACAAGGTTGAGCATTTTGTACCAAAGTTGGGGAGACCTTTAAGCATGCACATAACTAAATCACCAAGCAGTCCAAGTAGGAGGGGACACTAGGAAGAGAGGGAGGCACCCCATCTAGCAACTGGTGGGAGGATGGCCCCCTGGCCTCCCACCAAAGCCAGCAAAGAGTGAGAAAGACCCTCATCCAGCTGGAGATGCAGGCAATGCCCTGTGGCCTTCAATGCCGTCTTCTAGACGAAACTCTTAGTCTCCATGGGCTAAAGAAGGACCCTAGGGAGGAGGTTACTATGTCAGCCACCCTAACCAGTCAGTGTGAATACTGTCCAGTAAGACTGTGCTTGAATTTAGCTAACCTGGACTGGGTCATGTCTTCAGGGTAGACTATACTGAACTGGACTGAATAGCAGCTGGCTTCATTTTTGTCCTCATCCTTCTGTTGTTCTCTCAGAAGGATCCTTGCGAGGACAAAAATCAGTGACAGAGCTACTCAGGTCCTCCTTAGTGGTTGGTTTATGCCACATGGGGGAGGTTTCGTGTCCTCTCTAATTTTATTTTAATTTTAGTTCAGGAGGACAAATGCAGACTTTTCACCTGAAACACCAACTTATTGATGTTTGACTTGCAGGAAATAGTTTGTTTGGCTTTTTTAAATTTCTCCCAAAAATGAATCCTGCACCTTAAAAAGAAGTTGTGGGCAATTTTATTTTACCATTTTGGTTTTGTTACGTAGTAGTAATTTTTTAAATTGTCTTCCATTGCTCTCAATAGCAGTGTATGCTTCCTATCATGATATGTCAATAGCATGACAATAAAGGTCAAAAGTCTCCTGTTTCAATTTAAAGGACTAAATTAGGAAATATTTCCTCTAAAAAATAAGTGCTTCAGTCTGTACTAAACAAGAGTTGTTATTTTGTACAAACAAAAATAACAAAACAGTACACATTTTAGAACATACTAATATATTAACTTGGCTTCCTAATCG